TTGAATCTTGAAGCTTACAGCTTAAAGCTTTCGCTTTGTGCCATCTTGCCGCCTAGCCCCAGCTAAATGGGCAATAGTTTTCTGTGGAGACGAAAACGAAGTCTGGAAAACTCGGCACAGACAAAAGAACTACATTTAAGATTATCGTTTTATAAAACTTTTAATTATAACAGAAATAAATTTCAACACGAAACAAAGGAAACATTTCGAGGCGAGTTTTAAGAAGATTTATTAAACGTAAACAAGTTCGACAAGTAATTTTTAATTAAGCAGATTGTTTTCTTATTCCCCCGAGAATGTTTAATTTGTATAATGTAAACGAGCGCCATCTGTGACACAAGGAAAAAAATAAAAGTGTTTTTAGGTTAAATTAGGTTAAATCGAAAACAGTCTTAATACTAAGAGAATATCCGTGTATAAACTTGTTTCGTGAGTATTTATTAGCTGCTGGTTGTGTGTAGATGTAGACCCTGAAGGCCTGATCGAATCCGAGTGCAAGATCTCGAAGAGCGGACAGGTTGGCTATAGATTTATGGCTTTTAATTAGATGGTTAAAAAGCGCGCGCGTCGGCCGGAAAGATTTGTTGCCGATTCGTTCGACTGCAATTAATTAATGCTGTTTCGATACGCGCCGCGCTAATTATAATGAACATTATATCATGGACTACATAGACGACTTCGATATCTACTCGTAAATAATATTTATCCAAACTATAATTTTGCGTAAAATATGATAAATTTTATTTTTATTCCTCTTTTTTTAGACATTAAATTTGTTCTATATTAAATTAGCGTGTTGTAATCGGTCGTTAAATTTAATAGTTGTTTACTGTTTGAGGCGGATTAAGTCATGGGAAAGTTTCAAAAATTTTTAACCGACTTAAGCCAAGGTTAAGATGATCTCAAGAATGTTGGCGCCAGAGATTTTTATTTCTTTCTTTTACTACTTAATAAAAACATTTTTTTAATTTATAATTATTTTTTAAGGACTTTATTCAAAATCTTTACATCCTGATGATTATATCCTGAATTGGACAATACCAAGACGTGTGTCTGAGTTTGGTCAACATGTCACACACAAATTGGAGACTTTTCATGATGGTCCAGTGCATTTTAATGTTACCATCGATGAACGTGAACACATGTTGGTTCTACAACCGTATAAGAGCTTTATTGCTCCGAATTTAATTATAGAACGCATGCGTGCTAAAAATTTACACACTCGTAATCGACTTAAGAGGAGTTTGGATTGTTATTATCATGGACATGTTTATAATGATGAAAAATCACGTGTTGCAGTTTCAACTTGTAATGGTTTGGTATGAAAATAATTTTTTTTAAAGTTTGGAGCTTTTTAATTTTTTTTAAATAATTTTTAGACTGGATTTATTCATACAGAAACAGGAAGATATTTTATTGAACCTGCGTTAATTTCTAGCAAAGAAAATGAACATAAACATTTGATATTTAAACGTGCAATTTCTGATGGGGGTAGAAACCGGAAGCGGAAAAAACGACGTCGGAGAGGTTCCAAAAACTGTGGGACACGTGAACCTAAACGAATGACAGAGTAAAAAATATAATTTATTTTTGGTTATTTTATGTTTTTATTTTTTTTATATGTAGATTAGAGTGGTATCAACATACCGGAAGTGGAAAAATAAACGTACAGGAAAAACGCCACAAGATGCGTGAAAAGATCCGATTTGCTTCGATGAACAACTTGAAAAAACTCAAATACAAAAGCGTGCATCACAAGCGACATCAGAGGCACAGAATTAAGCGATCCATCAGCAGCCCACGGTATGTGGAGGCCCTTTTAGTAGCTGATTCGTCCATGGTTGAGTTTCACGAAGATGGCGATGTGGAAACGTATCTTTTGACAATCATGAATATGGTCTGTGATTTTTTCCCTCTTTTTTTTTCTCTTGCCAATTTCCTTATTTTTATTTTTTAGGTTTCTTCTTTATATCTAGATCCCAGTATAGGAAACCTTATCAATATTGTAGTGGTCAAGATAATCCTCATTGATGATCCTTCCGCAGCTCCCGATTTGAATATAACTGTAAACGCGGATTTGACTTTGAAAAACTTCTGTAAATGGCAGAAGGAGTTGAATCCCAAAAATGATTCACATCCACATCATCATGATGTCGCCATTTTGATAACCCGGAAGGATATTTGTGTTAAACAGAATACTCCTTGTAATACTCTTGGTGTGGCTAATGTTGGAGGGATGTGTAAAAGTGGAAGGAGTTGTAGTGTCAATGAAGATAATGGGATATCACTAGCACATACCATTGCTCATGAAATGGGTCACAAGTAAACATAACCCTCTTTTTTTTCTTCTACTGATTTCTTAAAATTTTATAATTTTAGTTTTGGGATGTATCATGATACAGATAAAATAGGTTGTAAGGGACGTGAGGGTTCCATGCTCCACATAATGACACCTTCCTTTGAAGCGGATACTGTAGAGGTATCCTGGTCATCTTGCAGTCGTAGATATGTCACCACTTTCCTTGAGTAAGAATTTTAAATTTAAAAGTGTTTAATATAACTTCTTGTAATAAATGATTCATCAGTAAGGGATATGGTGAATGTCTCCAGGACTCACCATCTGAAGAAATCGCAGAGTATGAATACCCGCAACTCCCAGCTGGGGCTATCTACAACGCAGAGTATCAATGTCGTCTGCAGTTTGGTAATAATGCAACTGTATGCGTTCAATTGGATGAAATCTGTACCAGGTTATGGTGTGAGGTGAATGGGTCCTGTACAACTCAGCTAAGACCAGCTGCTCCGGGGACTCATTGTGGGAAACACATGGTGAGGATATTACAGGTTCCTTAAGTGTAGGTCTTAATTGATGGTGTTATTTAGTGGTGTCAAGAACAAAAATGTGTTCCTATGATGGATCCACCAATTGCCATCGATGGAGGTTGGGGAGAATGGTCCCCGTGGAGTGACTGCTCTAGAACCTGCGATGCAGGTGTTTCCATCATGGAAAGGGAGTGTGACCATCCTAGACCCAGTGGTGGGGGTAGGTTCTGTGTAGGAGAACGTCGCAGGTACAAAATTTGCAATTCAGATCCCTGTAGGCAGAAGACACCTACATTCAGGGCACAGCAGTGTAGTGCTTTTGATAATGAGACCTATGAGGGTCAACTTAATACATGGGTACCATTTTTGATAAAAGTAGGTTATGACCCACATTATTTAAGACTTCTCTAAAAGAGTATCTTACAGATGAACCTTGTAAGCTTTACTGTTCTGATGCCAATGATACAGTGATAGTTCCATGGAAAGAAAGGGCAGCTGATGGTACACCTTGTAATGTAGGGACAAGGGACCTCTGTATTGCTGGTATTTGCAGGGTTGGTACCTAAATATTAAAATAAACTAAAAATTAACTAAAATTTTATTATGGGTTAGAAAGTAGGTTGTGATTGGACAGTTGACTCCATAGCAGTTGAAGACGCCTGTGGGTATGCCAGGAGATGGTACCACATGCGACACCATCAAAGGAATCTACCACAAACAAAGTGGAGGAGCTGGATACAAAGAAATGTTTGTTGTTCCAAGTAAGCACAAAAAAATTCAATCACCTCATTATACAGAGTGTCCCAAAAACAAGAAACAAACAAAAATACTAACAATGCAAGGAATTTAACGATTTTGCGGCTTCATCACCACAATCCGGGGTGTTGTGCGCGTGTGGTTAAAATACCGCCTAACCGCCCATTCATTAATTCCACTTCCTACGCCATGCACATCCGGGCGCATCCGTTTCACACTTTAATTTTAATCCGATTTACAGTTACATAATGCGTATGATAATTACCTGTAATCTTCGTTTGCGTCACAGCGACTAGAATAAAACTGTTTTTGTAGGTGGTTCACGAAATATTCGCATTGAGGAAATTGATTATTCAGCGAATTACATTAGCATTGCGAGCGCAGTCTCACAGCGCACGTACTTGAACGGAAAAGGGTAAGTCACCCCTCAAGGCGTACACCTGTGTACTAGTACTAGTTTTCTTGAAAGACGACGTCCGCACATACTAGTCGAGTAATGAAGTACCCGTTTTCCTACAGGCACATCACCCTCCCGGGCGAGTACACCGTGGCAGGTGTGCAAGCGCTCTACGAACGGGATAATGAATTGGAAAAGATACGCATTCCAGGACCCATTCAGGAATCCATCTTGTTCTATGTACGTATGAAATAAAAATTTCTTCATTTTTTTTTTGTTTTAAATTCTGCATCATTATTTTTTTACGATTGAAAACGGCAAAAAGTTATTCTAATCGTTCACGCTCGATTCGGCACGCTTCGGCAAATCGTTAATTAAAATACGCCCATCCGCGGAGGCTGCTTTTGAGCACTCTCGTCATTAAAACGCAAGCAAGGGATGAATAAAAAACCCAACGATCCTACCTATCGAGTGTATCTTCCGGTCGATTGAAGCTCACTTCAAGCCTCACTCATTTTTTCCATTTTTATTCAAGTGTTGAAAATTAAACTTTTTTTTTTCTTCTGCCTCTGACTGAATTTAATTTTATAGATATTCTTCCATGGTAATACATACAACCCAGGAGTCAAATATGAGTTTACAATGTCCAAGAAGAAACCCCCGAAAGAAGTTAAATATGACTGGGTGCTTGACGAATGGACGCAATGTTCGGCAACATGCGGGGGTGGCACACAGACCCAACTGGCACTATGTCAAGAGTCCATAATAGGTTTCAATACACTTTTAGCTGAAGGATCTGCTACTATTGTCGATGAATCGTACTGCGAGGAGTCTGAAAGACCGCCTCCGGCGTTAAGGGTGTGTAATGAAGAAAACTGCCCTTATCATTGGTGGATAGGTCCATGGCAATCATGTCCTGTTAGTTGTATACCACAGGTAAGCAAAAAAGAAGAAATCTGTAAATTTTATAAATTAGGTTAGTGATTCACAACTATTGATTTTATTTTTTCTTCTGTGAGTAGCAAGGGGAGAAAGCTGTACGTCGCAGGAGTGTAATGTGTGTAGATGGACTAGAGATGGCGTTGCCTGATCATTTCTGCGCGGCGGATACCCGCCCCAAGGAGCGGGAACCCTGCAAAGGCGTGCCGAAGTGTGTCGAGGACAATGGGGATGAAAACGAGACCTAAATTTCGTCAGTTTGCACCAAGGCCATTGTATTTTACACCACAAACACGATAATTTATTTTATTACAATATCAGTTTAGAGTTAAGGGTTGACCCTTTTTTAATTGCACGAATACATAAATATTTAAATATTTAACAATAAATTAATGATTAACAACAATTGTATTATTTAACGTTTAACTGAAAGACTGATTAAAATTATTTTTAATTTAGGGGTGGTTTTATGTTATTCAGTTCTTATCAACCCTTCTATATAGTTTAAAAGGGGTAGGTCACAGTAGAAATTAATGTCTTCGTTGCATTTTGTTGAATATTCATGGTCGGAATCGAATCTAAAATGAAATATGTGAGTAAAACGAGTGGAAAAGTTGAATAAAAAACGCTGGAGATATTATTATAGCAAATTTGCAATTTGCAGCCGGCGGACGATGGTGAGATTCGTTATCAAAGACGACACTTACTTGAATAGAGTCATCAAAAGGTCTTTCACTAACGACGTGCCTCTCAGGGGCACATAGGCGCGAGCATCGCAAATTGCACGGGTTATACAGGCTGTTCCATTAAAACCCAAACTGAAAAATTTTATTTTTTGGCTTTTTAAAAATTTTTTTTAATAAAAAAAATTACCCTTGGAATGCTATTGATATCTGCTCAAAAACTTCTCTTTTCTGACGTCTGTGAACGTCTTTTCGCCGTTTTAACCATCGCGTATCACTGGGCAAACTAAAAGGCACATCACACTCCGCTGCCAGACGTAAACCAGTTGGTGTTTTGATCATCAACGACTTGATTAATGATAGTGTCATCTGAAACAAAAATTTTTAAATTTTTTTTAAACTTAAAATTTATGTAAGTGAATAATTTCATAAACAAATATGGATCATGTATATCCGTCCGCCTGCGGTCCATCCATCCATCCATCGCCGATTTCCGTAATTAGCTGATGTTGCCTTTCCGCAACTTTAAATGAATTTCCCGACCTCATATCCGGCGATCGGCGATAGACGCGACTGCCGTTTACCACCCGCTGACAAGCGCACACCTTACACATTGGCAGCGCATCGATTTTCAAGTGACAGCCGTTTACTCTCGTCCTGCGATTTCTATACGGCTATACAACATCGACGATACTCGTTTCAAGTGCTCGTTCACATCCGATATTCGATAGGTATGCTAAGGGGTAAGTTAACCGTTAAAGTCTACTTCAGGAAAGTGCAAAAGTGCAAAATTAATACATTATAACATAAAATTTATCAAAAAATGTGAATATAAAGATTGATTTACTTACAATAAAACTAGCTCCCTTTGGAAATGTCAAATAACGCTTCTTTCGATTGAGTAATTTATTTTCTCGCTTTGTGACTCCGTTTGCACCCCAATTCGCAACACTGTCATCGATTCTAGGTCGAATTTCTCCATTGAGACACAAAATAAATTCACAAAAAACTATCATTAAAAATATATCAACTAAAAATTTAATATTCATTTTCATTCTTTGTGATAATATAAATTTACACTTTGATGACGCCTGTGCAACGGTTTTCAAAGCACTAAAATTTATCCAAAGTGACTTAAGTCACATTGTCGTTAATTATCACGTCAATGTGCGAAGAATAAACTTCTTAAGGAAAAAAGTGTCTTAAGTATGCGCAGTGTGTACTTAAGTAGTATTGACTTAAGTCAAAACCGTTAACTTGTCTACGTTACTACCATTAATCACATTAATACACAACCAACGTAATCGTAAACATGCGCTGTTGTACTACACGTAGTATTATCATCTGTTTAGTGTTCTTATCAATGTTATCAACTGTGCAATTAATCACGAATCAAACCATTGAGTATTCTGATCATCGACGTGTGAAAAGAAAAGTGATTTTTACGAAAAACAGTAAAATATTTGTAAGAAATTATTTTATTATGAAAAAAAATTAATTGTTAATAATTTATTATTTTGTTTATAGTTTCGTGTGAATGGTAAACTAAACGTAGTGCCCTATGTACAAATTTTTGCTTATGGTTATGCCGTTCGTGTCAATTGGGACTTACCAGAGAGTTTATACAGAAGACATAAATTTTTCAAGAGAGATTTACACTCGGAATTAGAAAATATAAAATTTGATCAAAGGTAAAATTTTTTTAATCTTTAAAAACATATTTTATACTAAAAATTAAATTTTAGTGAACATTTTCAAACATACGCATGTTTATTCACATACGTGTGTAATCAAATAAGTAGAATATCAACATCGAAAGAAAATGGCCGTAAATGTGGGGTTATGTGTTCCATCGGACGGATTATCAAAGAATCCAGTGGGATGGAAGCAGATTTTTTTAAATCCATCGTTAATAAATGTAATTATTATATAGATACATGTATGAATCGAAGTAGTAATGACTTAAGCAATAAAAATGTGTTTATGTAATTTTCTGCCACACTCTGTATATTTTTTTCTACTCCCAGTGTTAATTTTTAACTGTTCACTTTCAGTGGTAATTTATGTTAAACTCTTTGTAAATATCATTGACCTATGCAGTAAAATATTACCTCAAAGTTATTCTGCGTGTAGTCAGCTAATTGTAAACATGAATATTTTGTTAATAACAATTTTAGTTATGGTAACTTTTGGGATTTTGCTGAAGCAGTGCTTGATACCAGCCGAACTGTGAAAGAACGTCAGAAAAGAGCATTTTTGGTCTATCAACCAGGTTTAAATTGGGTGCAAGTATGAATTTTTTTAAATTTTTTGCTCAAATTTTACAAAAAAAAATTTTTTTTCGAAAAAAAAAGATGGTGATGGGTATTGGTCTACCTATTGAAGTCCAAGATAACAGTATCACAATGGGAGCGGTGGTAAAGTCCTATTATGAACTCCCAAACAATGTCACGCAGTATACCAACCCTACTATTGATATAGAGCGCAAAAAGCGGAGGCGCCGGGCAACACCGTCCAGATGGGATATTTACAACACTTTACAGGATTTTATCAAAAGGTAAATTTTTAAATATTCATCTCAAACAAAAATTTATAACAAAAAACGAATAGTTTTGGGTTTTCCGATGGAAAGTCATGTTTGTTGAATTCTGTTTGTGAGTCCTCGAAACACAACTTCGATCCAAACGCCGGGGTGCTTGCCGAACTGCTCCACCTGCTTTTGACGTAAGTAAACGGACAAAATCCTCGGCTTTTCACATCTTCACATCAAAAATGTATCAGTCACTTCGCCGTGCGTTCAATCATCCCTCGAAGTTAAGCTTCGGGATGTCGAACGTTACGAAAGCATGAAATTTCAGCATGTGTCTATTTCCAGACCTTCAACTACCTCGGAAGATGTGGAAAACGCATTGGATAGAGACTTTTACGTTGCGGAAATGACCGGAAAAAGGACCACGAATATAGATTGTCAACGGCTGTATCCATGCGAAAGTAATCTCGTGCAGAAATTTACTCGCTTATTTTCATAATGCGCGCAAAACATGCTTTTGTATTTATTTTGTGACGGTGAATAAATCAACATAACTTTTGGTACAATCACGATAATATTTGGCACATTGTCCTGGCAGTGCTTTGGCACCGAGCATTTGCGCCGCATAATAATCGTTGTCGGAGTTTTCGCTGGGTGTTTCACGGGTTGTCGTTGGCCGGAAGAGGACGTGCAGAATCTCGTCCATTATGCCACGTGATTTATCGATGGGCACGTCGGCTAATTCGCATATGGTACGCAGGAGGCATTCTTTCCCGCCGAAGCCGTAAACCTGTGCATATTGTTCAAGGATTTTATAAACATCCCAACGGCTTGTGCTCAGCTCCGCGGAGCGTCTTTGGCGGTTTCTTGCGTAATAAATATTCGGATTGGTGTAATCGCTCGAGTTTCGAGGCAACAAGTATAATGCCTTTATGACTACACCTACAACTACGGATTCATCTTGCAGATCAACTGGAAAACCAGCACCCATAATAGCCTAAAATATTTTTTTTGTTTCAAAATTTTTATTTTTTTAATTTTTTGGAGAAAAAATTACTTACTTGAACTTTAGATACAGGACTAGGATAAACCAGACTCCGCTTACTCCTGAGTCTATTATCCGTGCTGGGGAATTCACAAAGGACAACGCACACAAGCGTAACGAGCGCCAGGACGAGTCTAGTCATCTTTAATCACGTCCTCGCTGCGGTGACGGCAGAGATGTCAAACGAAGAACAAAGCCGAGCAGATGCCTCGCTTCAGTTGGTGTGGAACACCGAGCAGAGACTAATCGACAACTGGCCGACAGGACTCATCAGGGATAACACCGCATACATTTTAATTAGTGCTAATTAAACTAATCCCAACTAGAAATAACTGTAAAATAATTAGAACATTGTTTCAGTAACAGTAAAGTATTTATTTTTTAATTTTAGAAATAATTATACAGTTTAGATGAATTTTAAGATGGAGGCATCACAAGATGGATACATTTCTTTGCAGTTATGAGTTTTGTTAGCTGATTGGTCATAGATGTCTTCGTTTTCATAATCATCAGTTGGTTTTACTCTAAAAAATTAAAAAATTCAAAAAAAAAATTCAAAAAAAATTTAAAAAAAATTTTTTTTACCTAAAAATAGCTTTCAATATTTCCTCCATAAAACTACCCTTCTCTGATCCCTTCTGATGAACCTCACAAATAGCCCTCAATAAACAAGCCTTCCCATCTTTACTTTGTCTAAAAATAACCACAAATAAATTATCCTTCCATTGACACTTTAGATAAACTCACGTAGATAAAAACTTTTCAATTTTTCCGTACAGATCCCTCCGAGTCCGACGATGTACTTGATGATAAATCGATGCGGGTGAACTTGGTGTTGACTTATAATACACCTCACCCCTGCTTCCCGCAGACGTAACCCGATCACCTTTCGTGAGTTGTATCGGCTGTGAGAAGCGATAATGCACCGGTTGCTGCTGGGGAAACTGCTGACGACGGCGGTTTTGATAGTTCTGATATCGATACCTGTTGTAAGCAGGCGAGTAGTTGATGGAGATCGGATTTTGATATCCGCTGTATCCGAACTGATCGTTGAACGCCCCCAGAAGGTTTATAGCCGATTGTGACACTTTGGTAGTTGCTGGAGGTGATTGTTTCTTGTTTGCAATCGGATCGAGAATTGTGTACTTCCCGGGCGGGTCTTTGCGATGTAGGAGCTCGGCTTTTTTTCGATAGGGTTGAAATGGGTCGTGGGGTAACTCCCAGGCCAAAGCTGCTGTTCCTCCAATTGTGAAAATTGTACTTTTACCAATTACAGGCATAGTTAAACAATAAACTATAAAATATTATTATTTTAGGTTAGAAAATGGTTAATTACAGAATTTTTACTAACCTAATTGTAGAGAACTTCCTTCCGGGAAAATTAAATATCTTTTACGTCTTGATAAAATCTTCATAGAATCTTCATCAGAATTTTTATTTTGAGTTGAATTTTGGGAATAGATTATGCTGATGTTGAAGCATAGAATCGCAAATATAATACGTCGCATTTTACGTCTCAGAATTCTTTTTCTTTTCGCTCGGTTTTTCTTTTCCGGTTGCTTGACTTTCTTTCGCTTGAGTCGGCTTTGTGCGCTGAAATGAACCCAATAATCACGGGAACACGAGGCGTAAATAAATCAAAAAAGAAACGCAGAAACCCAACGGTAACTCATATTTACACCGACAATTAGCAACTTCAGAATTGAATTAAATTGTTTCAGTTCTAATTCTAACTCATATAAAAACACATAACTGTAATATTTACTGTAAAACTTTATTAAGAATAATTATTATAATAAGAGTACATTCCTAGAGCCATATCAACCAAAGAAAAAGTACACTTAGAATATTTTACTGAACATTCTTGAGACTCAGAATTTTTTCCATGAAGATGTGCTTCTTGATATAATCTATGTTCTTCTGGTTCGTGATTAAGTATTTCCTGTATTGGAAATCTGTAATTTTATATTTTTTGTAGTTTTATTTGAGACTTAGAATTTATTACCTACCCAAACACGGTCATGATGCTTTTTTCTAATAGGCCTATCTCTTCATGATTCGATATAAACATAGCACCGGCTTCACATAAAGCTCTAAGCACACATTGTTTGCCGTTATAGCCCATTCTGTAACACAAAATAAGCGGTCATTTCAGAGACCCAAGTTATCAAATAATACGCCTACTCACGAGTCCATGATGAGTTCCATTTTCTGATACAAATCACGTCTGCTACGCCTTCTGCGGACAAATCCCCCGGGGGTTTTGTAGTCTTCTAAAATTGCACTGCTGTTGGGAAGGTCGTAAGAAATGCCCCAGTTAAGGCCTTCGGTGATGAATTCTGAAGGTCGTATGATTGCCTGTGACGTCATACAAATCGCAATCTGGAATACAATGATAGATATTTAAAGTAATATTTAGGTGTAGAATTTTAATTTACTTACTGATAGGGAAGCTCCTTCAGGAAATGCAATATATCTTTTATGGCGAGTTGGAGTTTTAGAAATTATAGGTGATATTATTACTAACATTAGAATTGATTGTAGAATTATTTTTGTATACATCTTTCAACGTTGTTTTTGACAGAATAAGAATGGAATTGGTTAGAATGCACAAAGGAGACTTTGTTTATTTGTGTAGTGCTAATTAAGTTAAGTTTACTTAAGGTTAATTAGAGAATTACGAATACAGTCCTAGTGCCATATCTACCAATGAAAATGTACACTTAGAATAAAGTTCTGAACACTTTTCTATATCAAATAATTGTTGTCCTTTAATATGGGCATCTCTGTAACTCCTGTGGTCATTTGGTTCATGACTTAGAATTTCCTGGGTTGGAAATCTATAAAATTTAAATTAAACAAAATCACTTTTAGAAATAGTTATTGGTTTACCCAAAAATGATTCCCAAAACTTCTTCCAGAAAACTTCTTTTTCTTTGATTGAATATAGTGGCAGTTTCACAGAGGGCTTTCAAGATGCAATCTTTACCATTGTAGCCCATTCTGTAATAAGAAGTGATTTAGAATGTAAAAAATTGAAAGAAAACAAATAGGAAATAATTACGAATCCATAATAAGTTCCATTTTTTTATATAAATCACGTCTGCTGCGTCTTTTACGAACAAATCCACCTGGTGTTCTGAAATCTTCTATAATTGAAGTGGCATTTGGTAAATCATAAGATATTCCCCAGTTTATGGCCTCTGTGAAGAATTCAGTAGGAAATAGAAAGGTCTGAGCAGTCATACAAAGAGCAATCTACAAATAAATTATTTTAAGTAAAAAATGTAAAATATTCAGATACAGAATTTAGCTTACTGATAAAGTTGCACCTTCGGGAAAAGCTAAATATCTTTTTTGTCGTTTTAGGTTAGATCCCACAGTCTTAGAATTTATTTTATATATAAACAACTCCAATATTAACAAATAAAAACAAAAATTGGCAAAACGCATATCGACAAAATTATTTACGAGTTATATAAACCGTAACTGTAAGAAAACTGAACAGTACGCAGAATTCAAGCAGTAATCTTGAGCTTGGTGCTAATTAAGGGACACATAAGCAGTTTACTTTAAATCTTAACACTATACAAACAAAAATTAATATAAGTTGACACTTTAAAATGTAAACTATAACAAGTGATACAAAAATCTTATTTTTAAACTGGAATATTTTGAATATCAGAATAAAGATGGGATATTCTGAGTGTAGAATCCAAGTGCCAGGTCGATCAATGAAAATGTACATTTGGAGTACCTATCGGAACACTCATCCGGATCAGATAATCCTCTCCCTAAAAGATGAGCATCTTGATAGTGGCAATGTTCCTCTGGTTCCAGATTCAGAATTGGTCTTATAGGAATTCTGTAGAATACAAAAATATAATGTAGATTTTATTTTATATGATGTTATTAAAAATATTTAAAATACAATACCGAAATATTATTCTGATGATTTTTTCTACAAAACTTTCACATTTTTGATTAAACAAAACTCCTGTTTCACATAAAGCTTTTAGAATACATTCTTTTCCATGGTAGCCCATTCTGAAACATTCATATTTTAATTTATTATGTTTTTTAAAGGAAAAGATTTTTCTTTTGTTTACGAATCCATAATAAGTTCCATTTTTTGATATATGTCTCTTCTGTTGCGATTTCTACGTCTAAATCCTCCTAGAGTTTTGTAGTTTTTGAGAACTACTGTATTGTTTGGTAAATCAAAAGCCATGCCCCAGTTTATGCCTTGTGAGAATATTTCATGAGGGTTTATAATGGCTTGTTCTGTCATACAAAACGCTACCTAAATAAAATTATTCAAACTTTTTATTTATTATGCATTAATTCTAAAGTTGAATCTCACCGAGAACGTGGCACCGGCTGGAAATGCTACATATCTTTTACGACGACTACGAATCAATTCTGAATTAATTTCTAAGACTAATAAAACCAAAAACAATAATGAAAGTCTTAGACTCATTTCTAAGACAACTGAATGCAACTCTAAGGCTGTAAAGATAAACTTAGAATGACAAGAAATATATTATGACATGTCACATAATTAGTTGGCTTTAGCAATTAACACTTTTGCAAAAACAAGAAGAGGATAATTTACAAATGCTCCAGATTCTAACATAACGTAACAAAATTATGCAGTTTTGTTATTTGCAAATTTTATAGTTTCCCGAAATTAAACAATTTATGAAAACAATTATAATAATAGATCTAATTAAATTAACGATGGAATATTCTGAGTGTAGAGTCCAAGTGCCATGTCAATTAAAGAAAACGTACATTCTGAGTATCTAACGGCACATTCATCGAGGTCAGAGACATTTTGTCCAGAAATCCTGGCATCTCTATAGTCTTTATGGTCATTTGGTTCATGTTTCATAATTTCTTCTATTGGAAAGCTATAAAGTTCAATAAATACAAATAAAATTCTACATCTAAATAAATTTGTTTACCCAAATACAATTCTTAGGATTTTCTGCACAAGACCATTACTTCCTTGATTAAACAACCCGCCAGCTTCACATAGGGCTTTCAGAATACAATCCCTACCATTATAACCCATTCTGTAATTACCCAAAGTTACAGAATTTTATTTAATCTTAGAATTTATAACTGTAACTTACGAATCCATCATAACTTCCATCTTTTGATACAAATCACGCCTACGTCTTCTCCTGGCAACAAACCCAGGTGATTTAAAATCATCTAAAATCGCAGTGTTGTTAGGAAGGTCAAACGATAAACCCCAATTGAGACCTTCGCTGAAAATCTGCATGGGATGCGCGATTGTGTTTGTCGTCATACAAACCGCGACCTGTTTGTGTGATCCAAGCGGAATATTTTATTTATACGGTCAGATTTTGTGAAGTGGAAAAGACGAAAAATAAAATTTGTAAAATTGCTTACAGACATCGTGGCACCCTCGGGGAAAGCAACGTATCTCTTGCGGCGCAGCGAATTTATTTGCGACATTAACAAAGCGAGCAGCAGCAATAAAACCACAAAACGCATATTGGGAATCACAAACAAACACAAAAAGAAACTAACTTAGACTATGAGTAAACGAAAAGAAAAAAAAAAAGTTAAGACGACTTAACTTAAGTCAAGTAAAGTGTTAATTAATTTACTTATGATATTAACACCGGTTAAAACTGTGAAAAAATAACTGAAACAAATGATTAGTTGGTGTAATTTGTGTAATTCAATTTCGCAAGTATGGTTAATGATAAAATTGATAAAAACCATGGTCGGGATGACACTGGAGTGATATGAATTAATGAGGATGCCATCAAAAAAGGCGAGTCAGCCGCAGCGGAACGATTTGGTGTAACCAACGGGAAATATTAGTTTCATTCATCTGGCTGCTGTCGCATAGCCGCCGCCGTTGCTTCTGGGAGATGTGAAACCCACTGCCCCCGGCCTCCACCCCCAAACACACACAAAGTGTGGCAGAGTGCGTTCTCGTTGCTCGTCGGCGTTATTGACTCGCTGCGTTCGTCCGCCCTCGGCGGGCATCGGGCGGCGGCACGAGTGGCGGCGTCGGCGGGCGCCGCGGATGCTGCACCCCAGTAGTAGCCAGGGATGCTGAAGCGTCCCCGGCCCGTCCGCCCCAGCCAGCCCGCTCGCGTCCGTTGTTTCTAAACTTTTCGCACACGCACCACTTTTACCAAGATTATGGTGTCGATAGTGGAGTTATGTGAAGACCTAGACCATGGTTCTACCAGCTTAATAAGCATGTAAAAAGGTAACACATATTTATCTTTAATTCTGATTTTCCGGTCGCGCTGGTATCAGTTGCGGAAAAGTGGGCGTTCACTGCGTTAGGCCTTCTACTCGTACATAAAAGACATTATAATACAAACAGGATTATATTTTTTCTAAAACGCGTTTTATTCTCATTTTAAACTAAAAAGGATGAAAAAAAAATCATCAAAAGCTTGGAAAAAATTAGCCTTTTAAAAATATGCTAATTTTTCGCGACTAAAACTCACATCAAAAGACTTTTTGCACTCAGAAAAAAATCCTGAAAAGAGACAAAGGAGGAGTGGTGAAACTGATGAATCCTGGTGAGTGTTTCAAGGACCTGCCCCCTTTTTACAGCGCGCGGCCGCAAGCAACAAAAACGAATAAATATTGAACGAGTATTGAATGTTTCGCCCTCCGTCAGCCGAATTCAAGTGGATTAGCTACATACTATCTGCATATTTATTTCGGAAACTTTTAAGTGCTCACTTTTAAGATGTAACAACCAAAAAAAAATATCCATCTGAAATGTGACAAACGTTTCGGGACAAAAACCATTTAGAAGTTTTAATTAATTTATCGAGGCGCGCTTAATAAACGAAGACAAAGTTTCCGAGGTCCTGAAAGGCACACAACACAAACTTTTCAACAAACTTTTTGTCCTTTTGCCTTTTCTTCTCTAGATACAACCGAAAATAGATTATGACTTGTTATTATTAATGTTTATGTACTTGTGAAGTAGTGAAGTAGTAAAATTGAAATCGGAAAACGTTTTACCTCTAGCGACGGTGATGGCGGAAGCATCAATCAAAACCCGATTGCCGGTTCGTGTATTAATCACTTCCGCTGTTGATAAAACGGCGTTGCACCCCTGTGGGGGGAAACTATAACATCCCCTATTTCCAAATAACTAAAAGATGCTCTTTTGGTGTCTCTTGAGATTCGTGAATTAATTAAATCACACCTCGAATGCGGAGTGGCTTGTATTGTTTGCTAAGGCATTTCATAAATCATTCAATGAACAAGCGCGTCATTTGTCATCTAATGCTTTTGTGTGATCCATGTGATTTGCATATATTCGCAGGACATAAATGATGGAGCTACTGCTCACGTGGTTCATACTCGGTTTGGGGAGCATCCCATCGATCAACTGCAATCCGGACGCGAAGCGGCTCTACGATGATCTCCTGTCGAACTACAATCGTCTCATCCGGCCCGTGGGCAACAACTCTGACCGGCTCACGGTCAAGATGGGTCTTAAGTTGTCGCAACTCATCGATGTGGTAAGGAAAGCATTTTTAAACATTTTGTTAAAATATAACGCGCCCTATTGATTTCTTAACGGTTCAATGGACCAGTCGGTGAGATGTGAGTTGACAAGGTCGTTTATCGGCTTCTCGCCTCGAATTAAAATTTATAAATTTGTCGTTCGCTGTCGAAGCTCACAGAGTAACGTTGTGAAAGTCATGATGACGGCGTGTTATTAAATTAAGTTGTCATTCTTTCACCTTTGTGTATTTTTTTTGTTTTTTTGTATTTTGTTGGTTTGTCAATTATGAATTATTGAATGCAGAGCAAGTCAAGTCAATTTCGATTAGGTACGCACCCAAGCGGAATCATTTCATCATCTGGTTGCTGTGCTCTGGTTGCTTTGTGTCGAATGTGAGGCAGACGACGAAATTAGACTTCCTCCTTTGGCGATGTTAATCTGGAAGTCGCCGATTCGCCAGCATAATGAGTTGTCTTTGAGGCGAAGCCAAATTACGCAAAATGCCTCACCCTAATTATGGCGGCGTCGCTCAAAACCGCTTATACCTGTTGTATTCAGACCTTTGACTGCGACCCAGTTCAAATATTGCATCAACCTCAAATTCAAACCTTAAATATTTTCGCTTCTGATTTTACGAAATTAATGAATACACAACTTTGCCACGACTTGAAGGAATTCCATTAGTAGGACAAAGTTTAAATTGAAATTCGGAAAGTTGGCGAGTTTGTTTTATCGATTCGGGTTCTGGTTTTGTTTGATTGCTATGAAGGGCATGAATGAATGATGAACAATTGAAAATTTCCAGAATCACCAGAATCTGAGTCAAAGGTCAGTTATTCTAAAATACATGCTGCGTTTGGCTTTTCAGAATTTAAAGAATCAAATCATGACGACGAATGTCTGGGTGGAGCAGGAATGGAACGACTACAAACTCAAATGGAATCCCGAAGATTACGGCGGGGTTGAAACCCTGCATGTGCCATCCGAACACATTTGGCTTCCGGATATTGTCCTTTACAATAAGTAAACATCTTTGCTTGTTTTCTAAGTCATCTTGATCTGATTCTGTAACTTTTTCTGTGTTTAGCGCTGATGGTAATTACGAAGTCACAATAATGACCAAAGCAATACTACATCATACCGGAAAAGTGATGTGGAAACCTCCGGCCATCTACAAGTCTTTCTGCGAAATTGACGTAGAATATTTCCCGTTTGATGAGCAAACGTGTTTCATGAAGTTCGGGTCCTGGACCTATGATGGTTACATGGTAAGTATTTTCCTCCTCAAATTTTGAGGTTAAAAGGTAACCAATTTGTTGTTTTAAAGGTTGATCTGCGACATCTATCACAAACAAAAGATTCAAACGACATAGACGTAGGCATAGACTTACAGGACTACTACATATCAGTAGAATGGGACATCATGCGGGTACCAGCAGTACGCAACGAGAAGTTCTACAGTTGCTGTGAGGAACCCTATCCGGACATCATCTTCAACATAACCCTACGAAGAAAGACACTCTTCTACACGGTGAATCTAATAATTCCTTGTGTGGGTATCTCCTTTCTTTCTATTCTGGTATTCTACCTACCCTCTGACTCCGGCGAGAAGGTGTCACTCTCCATTTCCATTCTTCTTTCACTAACCGTGTTCTTCTTGCTTCTCGTTGAGATTATCCCACCTACTTCAATCACTGTACCATTATTAGGGAAGTACCTTCTCTTCACCATGCTGCTGTGCACCCTCTCAGTAGTAATCACCATTGCTGTGCTCAACGTCAACTTCCGGTCACCAGTCACCCATAAACTAGCACCTTGGGTAAAGGTAATCTTCATTGGTTTTCTACCAAAGTTTCTCTTCATTGAAAGACCTGAAAAGGATGAAGAAGAAGACAAACAAACAGAAAGCGTGCTCACTGATGTTATCCATGTGCCGTCAATGTTGGATAAATGTAAATCCTTTGATGCGTTTGATCTTGGCCTGCCTCCACCTGGAGATGTAATGAGGCCTTGTTTTGGTGAGGCACCATTCCCACCGCTGCCATTGTCCGGCGCCGATGAAGATCTCTACAGTCCTGCCACCTGCCGCACCAATACAATGGAAGGCATCAGTGATGTGAGCCCAACCTTCGATAAATTTGGGCTGCAGGATATGGAGAAGACCCTTGCGGACGCCAAGTTCATTGCTCAACACGTCAAGAACAAAGACAAGTTCGAGAATGTCGAGGAAGACTGGAAGTACGTCGCGATGGTGCTGGATCGACTCTTCTTGTGGATATTCGCGCTTGCATGCGTTATCGGAACGGGGATGATTATCTTCAAAGCGCCCTCGCTCTACGACACGGCAAAACCAATCGATATTCAAATCTCAAAAGTGGCCAAGAAAAATTGGCATTGCTCAGAATGGTACCGGAAGAATTGTAAGAATTAATAAACTGAATGGATAATAAGCGTATTGAAACGTACACGACGGATAATTGAGTACTTCCAAAATGTTAATAATAAATGTTAATTGTTAACGAAGATGTTGCTGGCGTAATTGATGATTAAACACGAATGGTACGAACAAAGTTCGCGGCGAGGCGCAGATGGACATTATAAAGGAACAATACTCCATATTGTAATGCGATAACGATGATAATCATTATTACATAGAACTTGTTTTTGTTATGGATAAACTATTGGAAAAATAACGAAATGGACAAAATGGACACTATTGATTATAACTATAATTGTGAGTTGTGTTTACTCTCAAATATTATTATTATGATTATTACTGTGAGGATGATGATGATAAGCTGTTTTCATTTGATCGAAATATTAATTGAATAATAAGTACTGACTGTAGAATTGTTGCTATTAGTAACGTACTTTTATCGAACGAACGAACGAAATAAATTTTTTGCATTTAACATTAATTTTATCGCTAACTTGGTGTTTTTATTTCATATCCAAGCCTCATACTGTTAATTTATCATTAAAATAATAACATTGTTAAAGTATACTATACTTTTATTTGTTTTTAATTGATTCACGTGACATTTCCAACGTGAAATGAGATACAATGGACGTGAGTTGATAACATTCGCTGCTGCGATAGCTAATGTTTACAAAACATTGCAACAATGATATGAGAAACTTGCGGGAATATTTTTAGTTGAAACGGACATTTTAGCGACATCTCAGAATGATTTTAAGAGTTCCGTTTGAATCTTGTTATTGAATCGTGTATTTGATAAGTGAGCATATAAAGAATTGAATGGCGATTCTGCCGTCTACCTGTAATCGCTCGCAAGGACACGGATTTCATTGAACAACATTATTAAATTGAACATCTATAAATTAATTAAAAAAAACTAGATGATTTATTTAAATATTTAGTACAAGCGTAAAATAAGATAAAATCAATGTAAATTGATAAAAGCTACTATTGGGATAGTGACAGAGCGCAAATCACATATAATGAATTAATTTATGATATAATAGTAGATTCGTTTACATATTCTTTACTTTTATTATTTAGAATTGATTCACGTGACATCTCAAGCGTGAGTTGATAAAATCCGCTGTTGCGATAGCCAGTGTTTACAAAACATTGCCACAACAATATGATAAAGATTTTAAGACTTCTGTTTGAAATCGTCTGCTTATGTTATTGAATCGGGTCTACCTGTAATTGCTCGCAAGGACACGGATTTCAATGAGCAGCATTATTAAATTGAACTCGATATATCAAGCGTGGATAGTTATAGATTATATTATTTACATTATATATTTTATAAAGTCAATATAAATTGATAAAATTGCTATTTGGTTAGTGACACAGCGCAAATCACATATAATGAGTTTAATTATGATATAATAGTAGATTCGTTTACATATTCTTTACTTTTATTATTTAGAATTGATTCACGTGACATCTCAAGCGTGAGTTGATAAAATCCGCTGTTGCGATAGCCAGTGTTTACAAAACATTGCAACAACAATATGATAAACTCGCACGAATATTTTTGTTGAAATGAACATTCTAGCGACATCTCGGAAAGATTTAAAGACTTCAGTTTAAAGTCGTCTGCTTATGTTATTGAATCGGGTATTTGATAAGCGAGTGTACCTAGAATTGAATGGTAAGGCAGCCGTCTACCTGTAATCGCTCCCAATGACAGGGATTTCAGTAAACTGCATTATTAAATTGAACTCGAGAAATCAAACATACATACTACATAGTAATGAATTATATATTACATTATATTTGTTAATTTATCATAAGATTAAACAAATTATTTAAATATTTTCTACTTTTATGATTTAATTTCAGGCGTAAAATAAGATAAAGTGAATATAAATTGATAAAAACTGCTCTTTGGTTAGTGACAAAGCGCAAATCACATATAATGTGTTTAATTATAATAAAATAGTAGATTCATTCACATACTCTTTACTTTTATAAGTTTAAACAGATTTGCATGAAATTTCAAGCGTGAAATGAGATACAGTGGACGTGAGTTGATAAAATCCGCTGCTGCGATAGCCAATGCTTACAAAACATTACAACAACGATATGAGAAACCCGCGGGAATATTTTTAGTTAAAACGGACATTCTAGCGACATCTCGGAATGGCCTTAAAAGTACTATTTAAATTCTACCATTTGTTTATTCAATCGTGCATGTTTGTGATGTGTGAGTGAACGTACTGAATGAGAGATACTATAATTCTGTTATTATGTTAATAGATCAATAACTACTTACTTAATTTGAAATTTTTATTCCCATATTATAGTTTATTATTATGATACTTTATTTAGACGATTTTTGATAATTAATATCTCTTAAACTAACAGAGATAGCAACCAACGAATCGCTGATTCTGAAAGATTGGAAAATTCTCTATCAGATAAAAATATAAAATAATTATATTTCCTACAGTACAAGGTCGAAAAACGCGACTAAAAGTGCTAAAAGTGACATTTATCAATTTTTGCCCATTTTATTCAATCGCGAATATCTCGTAAACTAAAAGAGATAATTAAGATCCGATCGCAGCGTCTTAATCTACATACTCTTCTCTATAAGATAGGCTATTTAAAACGGAAATCTGAGAGATGAAATTTTCATTCTTAAGAAAAAATTGCCAAGGGGGGGGTGCTTGATACTTTTTTTCGACCATTTTTGATAATTAATATCTCTTAAACTAACAGAGATAGCAACCAACGAATCGCTGATTCTGAAAGATTGGAAAATTCTCTATCAGATAAAAATATAAAATAATTATATCTCCTACAGTACAAGGTCGAAAAACGCGACTAAAAGTGCTAAAAACTGACATTTATCAATTTTTTCCCATTTTATTCAATCGCGAATATCTCGTAAACTAAAAGAGATAATTAAGATCCGATCGCAGCATCTTAATCTACGGACTCTTCTCTATAAGATAGGCTATTTAAAACGGAAATCTGAGAGATGAAATTTTAATTTTTAAGAAAAAAATTGCCAAGGGGGGGTGCTTGATACTTTTTTTTGACGATTTTTGATAATTAATATCTTTTAAACTAAAAGAGATAGCAACCAACGAACTGCTGATTCTGAAAGATTTGAAAATTCTCTATCAGATAAAGGTATAAAATAATTATATTTCCTACAGTAAAAGGTCGAAAAACGCGACTAAAAGTGCTAAAAAGTGACATTTATCAATTTTTTCCCATTTTATTCAATCGCGAATATCTCGTAAACTAAAAGAGATAATTAAGATCCGATCGCAGCATCTTAATCTACGGACTCTTCTCTATAAGATAGGCTAGTTTAAACGGAAATCTGAGAGATAAAATTTTAATTCTTAAGAAAAAAATTGCCAAGGGGGGGTGCTTGATACTTTTTTTTTGACGATTTTTGATAATTAAGATCTCTTAAACTAAAAGCGATAGCTACCAACGAATCGTTGATTATGAAAGATTGGAAGATTCTCTTTCAGATAAAAATATAAAATAATTATATTACCTACAGTAAAGGTCGAAAAACGCGACTAAAAGTGCTAAAAAGTGACATTTATCAATTTTTGCCCATTTTGTTCAATCGCGAATATCTCGTAAACTAAAAGAGATAATTAAGATCCGATCGCAGCGTCTTAATCTACGGACTCTTCTCTATAAGATGGGATAGTTAAAATGAAAATCTGAGAGATAAAATTGTGCTTGATAATTTTTTTCAACGATTTGAAAGTGATAGGAACTAGAAAAACGTTAGTATAGTATATTTAAAAGATATTCAGAATCAAATGGCTTGTGGCAAGCTACGAAGCATCGCACAAGGAGAAGACGAAGATAATAGGAAACACTCTATATTTGTGTCCTGTTATTCTCTCGCAGGTTAAACCATATAAACGAATACGTTTGTTTCTTTTTAGTGTTGTTTCATTAATTTTGAAATCACAACGATTCGAAAGAAGTTTTCACTTCAATAATAGATGTTAATTGTTAACGAAGATGTGGCTGGCGTAATTGATGATTAAACACGAATGGTACGAACAAAGTTCGACCTTATAAAGGAACAATACTCCATGTAGTAATGCGATAGCGATGATACTCATTATTAAATAGAACTTGTTTTTGTTATGGATAAACTATTGGAAAAATAACGAAATGGACAAAATGGACACTATTGATTATAACTATAATTGTGAGTTGAGTTTACTCTCAAATATTATAAATATTATAAATATTATTATTATTAATGTGAGGATGAGGATGATAAGCTGTTTTCATTTGATTGAAATATTAATTGAATAATAAGTACTGACTGTAGAATTGTTGCTATTAGTAACGTACTTTTATCGAACGAACGAACGAAATAAATTTTTTGCATTTAACATTAATTTTATCGCTAACTTGGTGTTTTTATTTATTATCCAAGCCACATACTGTTAATTTATTAATAAAATAATAACAGTGTTAAAGTATACTATTCTTTTATTTGTTTTTAATTGATTCACGTGACATTTCAAGCGTGAAATGAGATAAAGTGGACGTGAGTTGATAAAATTCGCCGCTGCGATAGCCAATGCTTACAAAACATTACAACAACGATATGAGAAACCCGCGGGAATATTTTTAGTTAAAACGGACATTCTAGCGACATCTCGGAATGGCCTTAAAAGTACTATTTAAATTCTACTATTTGTTTATTCAGTCGTGCATGTTTGTGATGTGTGAGTGAAAGAACTGAATAGCAGAACCTATAAAAATTCTGTTATTCTGTTTATAGATTGATTAAACCCTCAAAACCCCTTGGAAGTGCCCTAAAATGACTTTTAAAAGTTGACATTTCTTAAATAATTTAAAAGCATGCTGTACCATTCTGCCATCCTGTATCACTCCAAAATAATTCGACTGTCTTTGATTTAAAATGTATTTTTGAATTAGAAATTTTTTATTTGTATAAAAACAATGATTTGTCTAGTACAATTGCAATAATAGTTTGTCAATAAGCCAAAATAGCTCAGTTGGTTCAATCCCTGGTTTCGGCAGGTTACTTTTGCCAGAAATTTATCGTACTATGGAAAAATGTCGTTTTGTTTATGGTTTGCAAAATAACACCCGGTATCTTGCGAACTAATTGACTTTTTAAGTTTTCTACCTCTATGTTAGAGTTAGAGAGCTTCCCTACACGATGCATACATTTGCAACCCCTTGCCATTCTAAAAATGCTCTAAAATGATTTTTAGAAAGTAACATTTTCACAAAATTTGTAAATATGGCGTGGAAAACACCCTGTATCTCGTGAACTAATTAAGTTTTTGGATTTTATATTGCAATGTGAATGTAAAATGCTTTCTACACAAAGCCTATTTTTCAACCATCTAGCACTTCTGTAAATTTTCAGAAAAATTAAAAACAAAGTGTAGAAAACACCCTGCATCTCGTGAACTATTTGACTTTTTAGAGTTTCTTACCGCCATTTTAAGTTCGAGAGTTCCTCTACACGATGCATATCTTTCCAATATCCTAACCCTTCCAGAAGTGCTCTAAACTATACTTCAAAAGTTGGCAATTCTATGAAAATTTAAAAACACGGTGTGGAAACACCCTGTATCTTCTAATCTAATATACTTTTCCAGGTTTTTAAAGCCATTTTATGACCCAGGAGACGCTCTTTGCGACGAATTTTATTTCAATCCTCTAAGTCTTTTAGAAGTGCCCTAAAATACCCTTTAAAAGTTGACAATTCTATGAAAATTTAAAAACATGGCGTGGAAAACACCCTGTATCTACTAAACTAATATACTTTTTCCAGGTTTTTAACGCCATATTATAGTCCAAGAGACGCTCTTTACGATGCATTTTATTTTAATCCTCTAAACTTATTAGAAGTGCCCTAAAGGCCCTTCAAAAGTTGGCAATTCTATGAAAATTTAAAAACATGGTGTGTAAAACACCCTGTATCTCCTAAACTACTATACTTTCTCCAGGTTTCTTGACGCCAAATTATAGCTCAAGAAACACTCTTTACGATGCACTTTATTTCAATCCTCTAAACCTATCAGAAGTGCAATAAAATGCCCTTCAAAAGTTGGCAATTCTATGAAAATGTAAAAACATGGTGTGCAAAACACCCTGTATCTCTTAAACTAATACACTTTTTCCAGGTTTTTGACGCCATTTTATAGTTCAAGAGACGCTCTTTACGATGTATTTTATTTCAATCCTCTAAACCCTTTAGAAGTGCCTAAAATGTCCTTCAAAAGTTGGCAATTTTGTGAAAATTAAAAAACATGGTGTGGAAAACACCCTGTATCTCCTAAACTAATATACTTTCTCCAGGTTTTTGACGCCATTTTATAGTTCAAGAGACGCTCTTTACGATGTATTTTATTTCAATCCTCTAAACCCTTTAGAAGTGCCCTAAAATGTCCTTCAAAAGTTGGCAATTTTTTCATAAAATCTGAAAATTTTCGTCGTAATTCATAGAATTGGAATAAAATTAACCGAAAAATTCGGCCCTGTTTTTAACCAAAAATATTTTAGCGCAAAAGTTTGACCCTGCTCTTCAAGCAAAAATTATTTTTGTACATTATTTCAACTTTGAATTTTTGTTGAAAAAATTTGTAAAAAAGTTTGGCCCTGTATTTCAACAAAAAATAAAGTTAAAATACAATTTGCAGTTCCAATTCAGAATTTAATCTACTTTCAGAATCTGAAAACAAAATTTAAAAATTTCAATTACACTCGCAAAGAAACTCGGGAAGCAATTATCTCGGGAACTAGAAGAGATAAATAAAAACCAAAAACATTATTAGGCTCAGTATGAAATCCTAGGTAAGATAACATTCTAATAATTTGAAATATAACATGTGCCTAAAAAGTTTTCCGCCGCAATTTTCTCGGAAAGTAATAAAGTTAGAAAAGAACTTTCTTCATTTTGTTCATGCCGTAGTAAGGATCTATAAAATGGCAGATTTAGTTTTTCCATTTTCCAAAGTTGACCAAAGGCCACTCAAAAACATCAAGAGGTTACACTTGACTCTTTTTGGAGTCAAAATTTTTTTTTAAAGCTAGAAGAAAATGGAAAACGCTAATCGATTGAGTTTTCCAAGGGGATGAAAGGTATCAAGTCTGTTTTCCGATAACATCATTATTTCGGAAAATTAGTGGTAAATTAAAAACTGATCAAATAAAACCACCTCCCCAATATTTCCCAAACTTTCCAAACTGATGAAAAACAATGCACGGAATCTACTAATCCAGGTTTGGTTGCCCTATCTTAATTAGTTTACAAGTTACAGACCATTTTTAATTATTACATAAGTGTTGCTAACTGTAAATTTTAACATGCAATATAATGTAAAATTTAATTCTACATACGAATATGAAAACCGTTTTTCATTATCTCTAATGGTTTTCAAGATAAGTATGAAAAACTGGTTTATTCGTTTTCTCCATCATTCCCCAAGCAAAAAATAAAAATTGAAAATTTGACTTGTTTATTACAGAATATTGAAGAACATGGGTAGAATCACACTTTATCTTAATAAAATTTTGTTCTAAAGCAAAGCGTTTTGATATCTTGAAATCCATTATAGATTGAGAAAAACGGTTTTCATATTCGTATGTAAAATTGCATTTTACATTATATAGCATGTTAAAATTTACAGTTAGCAACACTTATGTAATAATTAAAAATGGTCTGTAACTTGAAAACTAATTAAGATAGCGCAACCAAACCTGGATTAGGGGATTCCTAGCATTGTTTTTCATCAGCTTGGAAAGTTTGGGGAAAATTGGAGAGGTGGTTTTATTTGATCAGTTTTTAATTTACCACTAATTTTCCGAAATAATGATGTTATCGGAAAACTGACTTGATATCTTTCATCCCCTTGGAAAACTCAATCGATTAGAGTTTTCCATTTTCTTCTAGCTTTAAAAAAAATTTTTGACTCCAAAAAGAGTCAAGTGTAACCTCTTGATGTTTTTGAGTGGCCTTTGGTCAACTTTGGAAAATGGAAAAACTAAATCTGCCATTTTATAGATCCTTACCACGGCATGAACAAAATGAAGAAAGTTTTTTTCTAACTTTATTACTTTTCGAGAAAATCGCGGCGGAAAACTTTTTAGACACATGTTATATTTGAAATTATTAGAATGTTATCTTACCTAGGATTTCATACTGAGCATAATAATGTTTTTGGTTTTTATTTATCTCTTCTAGTTCCTGAGGTAATTGATTCTTAAGTTTCTATGCGAGTGTAATTGAAATTTTTAAATTTTGTTTTCAGATTCTGAAAGTAGATTAAATTCTGAATTGGAAATGCAAATTGTATTTTAACATTATTTTTTGTTGAAATACAGGGCCAAACTTTTTACAAATTTTTTTCAACCAAAATTCAAAGTTGAAATAATGTATTAAAATAATTTTTGCTTGAAGAGCAGGGTCAAACTTTTTGCGTTAAAATATTTTTGGTTGAAAAACAGGGCCGAATTTTTCGGTTAATTTTTATTCCAATTTTATGAATTGCGACGAAAATTTTCAGATTTTAATGAAAAAATTGCCAACTTTTGAAGGACATTTTGTGGCACTTCTGAAGGGTTTAGAGGATTGAAATAAAAAACATCGGAAAGAGCGTCTCTTGAACTATAAAATGGCGTCAAAAAACCTGGAGAAAGTATATTAGTTTAGGAGATACAGGGTGTTTTCCACACCATGTTTTGAAATTTTCATAGAATTACCAACTTTTGAAGGGCATTTTAGGGCACTTCTGGTAGGTTTAGAGAATTGAAATAAAGTACACCGTAAAGAGCGTTTCTCGAACTATAAAATGTCGTCAAAACACCTGGAAAAAGTGTATTAGTTTAGGAGATACATGGTGTTTTCCACACCTTGTTTTTAAATTTTCATAGAATTGCCAACTTTTGAAGGGCATTTTAGGGCACTTCTAAAGGGTTTAGAGGATTGAAATAAAGTACACCGTAAAGAGCGTTTCTCGAACTATAACTTAGCGTCAAAAAAACCTAGAGAAAGTATATTAGTTTAGGAGATACAGGGTATTTTCCACACCATGTTTTTAAATTTTCATAGAATTGCCAACTTTTGAAGGGCATTTTAGGGCACTTCTTATAGGTTTAGAAGATTGAAATAAAGGACATCAGAAAGAGCGTCTCTTGTACTATAAAATGGCGTCAAAAAACCTTGAAAAAGCATATTAGTTTAGAAGATACAGGGTGTTTTAAACACCATATTTTTAAATTTCCACAAAATTATCAACTTTTGGAGGACATTTTAGGGCACTTTTAAAAGGTTTAGAGGATTGAAATAAAATTCATCGTAAAGAGCGTCTCTTGAGCTATAATATGGCGCCAAAACACCTGAAGAAAGTATATTAGTTTAGGAGATACAGGGTGTTTTCCGCACCATGTTTTCAATTTTTTATAAAGTTTGTAATAACGCTAATTTTGATAGGCACTTTAGGGCACTGCTAGTAGTGATTTGGAGAGTGAGGAAATTACTCAAGTTGTAAAGGTAATCATTCCGTTAATAACAAACAACCATAATCTTATCCATTAAACCAACGTTGTCAAATTTATTTCTTTATAATCATAATCCAACTAAATAAAAACATTAACATAAACTTAAGTAGAAACGCAGAGCAAGAAATCTCTCAAGAAATAGTTTCGTGCCGGTGTCTTTTAAATCTAAAATCGTCAATTAAACATGATAAAATCTTTAAACGACGTGAGCGTCCCACGATATCGAAAGGCCACAAAATCACTTCGTAAATCATCACCACGAATGAATAAACAACAAACGTAATATTAATCGATGTTTCTCTCACAAATTTTAGTGCGGTGTGTTTTGTCTAAGGTAACATGAGTGGTTTGAAGTACTGACGGCAATACAACGACTTGGCATTGATCGGACAATCCTGTGGGCCGAACATCTTCAAGTTGCCATCGGGCATACGGGAAAACGCAACCGAATATTCCCTATCGAACGCATTGATATTAATATGCGTCCTGCCGAGAGCTTGGCACGAAAGGAACAGAATCTCGCGATAAATGGACCGATTGCCTGGCATCGAAATGTTGCGCTCCTTTTGCTCCTGCGTCTTCTGACGTTCCGACGCCAGTTTCTTCATTGGATCCATCAATTCAGTACAGTGCACTGAACTTATGACGCCCTGCATGAATCGAGTCGAGTTGTTTTGTTCGAATGCAGTATCCCGTTGCTGATAGAGCAGGTACAACGGGAGTTTATCGCCGTGTAGACGTGGATCATCCCACATACAATACACTTTGACTGAGGCAGCTAAATGTTCTAAACGTACAAAAATCGAATCAGTAAACAAGTTGAACTCATTAATTAGAGGGATAAAAGGATTACGAATCAGGAAACACTTACGTGGCTCATCCTTGACAGCTTAAAAGGATGAAATCATTGGTACAGGATAATAAGATGGCGGTGAATCTAATAATCAATTCATCACTTACCAAGTATAGCTAGTTCCTGTGTGAGCGGATCAGTTCCTTCCTCGACTGGTTGCATGTTCCCAGAGTCTTCCGCTAATGCGCTTGCTGAAATCTCATCCCTCTTATCAACATTAACGCTCGTTTTGCTCTCGCTGCGACTCTTCAAACACAAATTCGGCAGGTGTGTCTGCACGTTAATACGCTCAAACACCCAAACCAAATTCCAGTAGATAATCGGATGCTCTTCGACAAACTTTGCCTCGGATAGACTTAAGTCACCCTCACGCGCAAACAAATTCTCCAGTTCTTTGCGCAACACCAGCGGGTTAAGATAAGGAATACTAAACGTTTCCAATGCATCCGCATCTTTCGGTTTGATTCTAATCGATAGGAAAGGAACCGTAGAGCCACGACATACTTGACATATTGAATTCAAATTTGAATCATCCGAAGTCCAATTCGCCATTATTTCTTCATCATAGAGTAGTGATGAACAATTGTGGCAGGTTGAGCATGATGCAATTACAATATCCATTTCGCTATCATTTGATGATGTTGATTCGGTGGGTATTGGAAATAGTGACTCTGGCATATCTTCAAAGTCGCGAAGATTTGCGTAACTTCCTCGATAGCTACCAAACTCAGCGGATATTTTCCTCTGACGGTCCCCACCTTCACTACCATCTGTGGATTCACCTTCCGGTTCGATAACATCACCGGCTGCTAAACGATCGGTGGAATGCACCTTGATGGGCGTGGATGTCGTCGACGTTGAAATCGCTTCTTTAATCTCGTCGAGTTTCTTCGCCATTGTATTCGCAGCGGATTTCAGCGAGCTTAAACCACCTTGGATGAGCTCATTGGACTTTTTTCCAGTTATACTACTTGGACTATATTGTGTAAAACATGCAGCAAACAAAATAAAACATTAATAAATAAAAATAAGCGTTTGTTATAATCATGTGCTAATAGTGCTTACCTAAAATTATTCGAAACATAATCCATGATATTTTGCGGCACATATTTTGAAGCGTTCAGTTCGGATTTGCGCAAAGAAATTCTAGCTGGTGAATAACGACTAAAATAAAAACAAAAGACGTGCAAAACAAGCGCCATGCAAACTATGTTATTAAAAACAAAATGTTAAGTACCCGAAACTCATTTTGATGCTGGATCCCAAACTTGCCAAACTAGAAGCGACTGTTGCAGCAGGTACAGTTTCAGAGCGATGCAGTTTGTTCTGCGCTGGTGGACTTCCTTCAAAAGTCGCAGATCTGTGCACAGAACTCCGGAATAGAATTGGCTCATCCGTCAATGGATTACTCTGTGCTAAATTGATGGTTTCAGGGGGTGGTGTAATGGGTGGAGGTGTTGGTGGATCGTCAAATGCACCCAAAGGATCGTTTTCCGTGATTAACATTCGAGAAATCCTAAAAAAACAAAAGTTAATCATAAAAATATGAAATATCATTGGCTTTTGCTTACTTTGTAATTGAAATCTTATCGTTTTCTTCATCTTGATTCTCCCCATCATCTTCTTCTTCAAATTGTAGCAAGCGTGAACACTTCTTGTTACTTTGTTGTAATTTATCAAGGATCAACGCATCTCCTGCACTTTCACTCCTCGATAATACCCGCACGTATTCCGCGGGACTTTCTGGCGGAGTGAAAGTTATATGGATATCTTCAATGGGTTCCTGAAAATCTCCTTCATCTCCTTCGGTGTCTCTTGAACTAACACCCGAATCTGTTTGTTCGGAACCATTACTAGCACTACCTTTAACAATGCTCACAACTCGCGTGCAGATTTTATCAAACACACCATCAGTGACAGGTACTGCTTCATGTGAATCCAAAGAAGATCTCGAAGCAACCCGATCGCCTGGATCTAACAAATTTAAAGTGCTATCCATTGTGACAGATTGCCGTTTTGCCTGTCGACGTTTCGCAGCTCTACGAAACCTCGCCGCACCCAAAACAACATAACGCAATTTGTTCCACAGCAAAAGACTTGAACTACTCTGTGCGGGCCATTCGGCTTCCAAAACACAACGATTATATAACCCGTATGTAAGCGCATTCGGTTGAAGCCCATTCCGCTTCATCAAGAGCAATAATTTAACAGCAAGCAGCGGTTTTGAATATTCACCGCAAAGTTGCATCATTAATCGATAACAGACTTCATCACACGCCAGTTTTTGTTGTGTGGCTCTCACTAACAATTCGTACGCCTGTTGTAACACAGCACGTTCCCTGCCGACATTCAATGATAACAAACTGGGCAGCGCCATGAAGTATAAAGTATGACAGGTGCCGCTTAAACATCTCGCCCATAACGCTGGTTGATTCACGTACTTCTGCGCGAGTTTCTGTGCAGATTTTATCTCGTGCTTTGTTCGGCGAGCCATTGGTGAACCAGGGATTGAGTTTTGATACAGTGAAGATAAATGATCACGTTTTTTACCCGTGGTTTTCAGTAGGAGCGGATTCAAAGTGAATTCGGTGTAAATTTGTGAATTTTCTACAATAAAACAATTTATATTTATAAAATGTAAATATAAAAATGTAATAAATACCTTTTGTGGGTTCAGGAGGTAATAAAAATACAGTCCTCTCACTTTTATGCACCATATCAGGTTCAAGAAAACGAATATCTTCATCATCCTGAGCTAATCTCTCAGTGCATTCATCAAAGAACGCTAGGCCTTGATCACCATCAGCTACGAAACTTCTCTCTTCAATAAACCTAATAAACATCTGTGTGTGCATCAATAAAGTGAAAAACTTATGATAGTTTTTATCCCGGGATTTTAAAAAGTCCGTGAGTTGAAACAGCGCCTGCGGGTCGGTTGTGCCCACTGTGGGCGCTCTGGTAATAGGCAACAGGAAATTTCTGTACCCTTTCAACGTCAGCGCCATAAACTTGAGGAAAGCTTCCTGAATTTCCAACTCTTGAGCTTGCTACAAATAAAAATACAATAAATCATTTGCATTGTAACAAAATAGTTGTTATACTTCTCGTCGTCGTCTTTGGAATTCTATTTCCAAGTCCAATTCCGGGTCAGGAGGAGGGTCTACAATCTTTTTACTTTGACACAAACTCTCATAGAGTCGTTCAAGGGTAGTTTTGAGGATCTTCGCTGGTTTTTTCGGTAATAATCGCACGTTTAAAATATGCCGCTGTGTTTCGCTGACTGTAATAATATTGGTATCCAAATCCACACAGCTTACATCCGGAGGCGGGTCATACAGATCGAAAAAACGTGAATCCACACCAATCATAAACGGTAAAGGTGCGTGAAGTACTTCTACTAAACCTACAATTCAAAAATAAAATTATTTATAGGTTAGAATAGGTTATGTTGAATATAACCTAGTGGACAAAGTGGAATGTATGGACACTGCCATTTGAAAGGAAATAATAACGATGACAGAGCTTCAGCGACGGCGGTGAGCGTGTCCGGACGCAGTGAATGAATCAAAATCTTTTGTTCGGTGAGTGCCAGTAATAAAATGAGCAAACAATTGTCCGCGCCGAGATTGAAGAGTAAATCCTTGAAACCAGCCGCACTGCGCGGCAGAGGCAAATCTTCAGGTTGTGTCATAATCACACGTTCTGCACTTGATAGTTGCAGTAATGTCCTTGGAGCAGGGAAAGGTACTTCATCAAGAAGTTGAACAATATATCTCTCGATAGATATTTCTTGTTCTTCACCTTTTGCAACCATATTCTACAACATAAAGAAATAAATTTTGTTCTGGGATTAATTTTAGTTACTTACATAAAGAAAATATAACCACTGTCTGAATGTGTCTGCAAATGGCCAGTGGGAAAGCACACAAATACTTTTCGACGCATGTAAGTTAAATCCTTTTCCTTTTTCATAGTTAAGTTTGGTGGTTTGTTCATCACTCAACTCATCATCGGCGAATTTCTCGTAGAAAGTCACAGCTGACCCGTAGACTTTGTGTTTCGCATCGGAAACTGTAAGCACAAACGTGCTGAAAATAGGCTTGGGTTGTGTTGCTTCTTCAGGCCACACTTCTAATGTAGCACCCATTGGCAAACAGAATAATGGAACGGAGTCTGGGAATGGGAAATGTTCCAAATTACCCATTGGATACCTAAAACAAACACCAAGTAATCAGATTAATCGGTTTTATTTGTTTGAATTAAAGGTGATATCACTTACCTGGAAATAACGGATGGATTGTATGTGATTAATCGCGAACGATTCATGGACTTTTTGTAGCAGAGGAACACGTCACTGCCGACGATTCCCTTGTTGAGGTTTTTGTTAATGCAGCAGAACGCATGCGGCGGGGATTCGCCTTTGCTGGCGATGACGACGCAAATGTCCGTCACGACAAGTGCGTTGCATGGCATCGTTGGTGAACCTCTTCGATATGTGATGAATGTCAATGCAGCCGAATTATTTACATTGGCTACTCTACCACCGACACTTTCTTCAACTTTTCCAGCATCTTTCATTAGGAACTCTTTTCCCTCGTACATAACACCTAAAAAAGCGCAGAAACTAGGTTATGTTCATGTTTTTTAAGGTTATTACATGAAATAATTGTGTAAAACTACTTAAAACTAATAAATATACATAAATATACACGGAATAAAACACTATAGCAATAAAATATGATTATTTGTTAATTTTACATCAAATAAAACCAAATTTGAGTAAAATTTAACTTAAAATGGTTATAAATCATTTATTTTTATCCATTTTTTAATTTTTTGAATAAAAATGCTTCAATACTTACCAATATCAACTAAAGGTGGTTTATCCCTGCCTCTCCGAAAGCACAAATAACACTCAATGCTTCGTAGACTTCCATGATTCAAATCAGCACTCAACCCACTTGGTGTCCTCTCAATCACCTCATACCCTTGTGGCACAACCTCATTCAAAGATGGAAAAACAATCCCAATATCTGTAATTGGGTCCTGATCATACCCGCTCTTAAAATGTGCTGAATCTGACAATGATGTGTCATCGAGAATGTCTGGTTCTTCTGATAGACCAACTACCACAAAGTAGTCGGCCACACGACGCTCATCCATGCTTAAGTACTGAATTACTTCTGTTTAAGGCACATCTTGTACATAATAGTAATCTGCAACACAATTATTCCCATCTGTTCGCTGAACAAGTTTGTATACATTTGCTGTTTGATTATGACTTACCTGAGCAAAGATATTGAAGTAGTTGATAGCAAATGATAGAAGTAGATGAGTCATCAGCCGAACAGAAAGTTTATCCGAGTGTTTTTCGTATTCTCTTTCTTAGAACCGTGTGTTTTGTTTTTTTATATAATACATTTGCAGCGGTTGATGTGATCCAAGGTGCTTTCGAGCGCTCGCTTTCTACGTAATTACGCATCGGGCGGACGGCATATTCGGTTTGTTGTGTTTTTACGCTGCAGGTGTAATGTTCACTTGGTGTAATTATAATTCAACATGTAACATTAACTATACAAATGCCAGTGAGTTATTTATTGTTTGTGTGTGGTAGTGACAGTAATGACAATTGTTGACATTTTGAGCGCTTAGATGCGAAATTGCGCCGGTAGATGGCGCTAGCAGTTTCAAAATCGAAATAAATTTTTGTTATCCGGTTCTTGGTTATCAGAAGGCCGAGAAATCTTATCTCTGGTCGCTGTGTTTGCGATTGCACACGCTGGTTTGTTTATTTTTGTGTATTGTATCGAAATACGTTTGGATTTTATGAATAAATGTAAATAAAAATCGGTTTTCTTCTTAATTTTGATTCTTTGGATGTGTAAATCAAAATAATTGAGTTTAATATTAGTTTTTTTTTAATTAAATCAACCCTAAATAATTAAAAATAACATCAATTAGTGTTTTTCATTTATAAAAACAACATTTTCCAGTTGTATTTTAATTAATTATGTGTTTTTCTAGTAAAAATATAAAACTGCGCATTTCTTGTTTGTTTTTTTAGTTTATTGCGAAACCTACATGTTTATTGCGAAACCTACATGTTTAAATCGCGTAATTAATATTGTTTTACAGGCGAAAATAATAAATAGTTAATTTAGTTGAAGCTTGAGCCTTTTTTCACGTCACACACCAACAATTGCGTTATCCTACTTAGTTGCATTACCATCAAAGGAAATTTCCAACTGACGGCGCTGTAAATGCACGCCGAGGTCGAATCCTGCTGAAGGAAACAGCGCATTAGGATAAAGCAACTTAAAACAAAGAAAAAAAACCTCGACAGCAGCGTACGTAGCTGCAGGAAAAGCATACTCGCAGCGTTAATGCAACGTAATGCAATGTAATACAACGAGGAACGTCACCGGTCCTGGTCGTAATCATATATTTTTTTATTTCCGCTGAAAAATTTTGCTCAGAATGGCAGGATGGCAGGATTTTCGCCCGCGCGTGTATGGAAATGTGAAATGAACTGCGCTCATGAATTTTAAAGCGCAGCCGCTTGTAAAGTTTGTGGGACTTGTGGGGAAAAATGAACAGATTCTTAAAATTGAAAGCGCATAACCGCCACATAACGGGGGGCGGCAAGCCCATAAAGAAAATGATGTATGGCGTTTACTTATGCACTGCCGGAATTTTAAGCTGTGGCAAACTTTCCAGGATGCGTAATAGTTCCCCGAAGGACCAAGATTTCAACTAGGAACCATAAAACCGCAAGCAAAACAAATTGAAACCCCCAAAGCTCATAACCTTAACCTCACAAACTTTCAAACAATACAAAATGGCGTATTGCTAAAAATATACACACAAAAACGATTCGTATCATATAGAAATTTAATTAATTCACTTCAGGAGCTTTAAAAGCTTTCAATTTGTTTTTATTTTTTTATCCACGTGAATTATGATGACATAAATAAATAAAAACAAAACTTTCAGGGTCAGCAATTACCTGCGCGCGTTTTTTTTCTCTCTGTGTGTTTGTGTTTCACGAAAAGCTCAGACATGTTTTTCTGGTTAGAAAGATCTCTCATACGTTTCAGGCATTTCAGTGTTTCAGGCACAATAAGCCGTCCGCTTTTGAGGCCATAAATTTTAATCTAAAATACTGATTAATGCCCGAGGGTGAAAGATTTCGTCGACAAATTTTTACGTGAACGCGCGCGCCAGCTTAAAAACTTCACTTTGGCCCGCCCCCGGAGTGAAAGCTTTGCGTGTGAAGCTTTCGCTCAACACAAGCTTTATCTTTTCACTCGGTAATCCTATTTCCACTGTTGACACGCTGAATTAACACCGACAAATTATTTAGATGTGAATTTAGTATTTTGTTGATATTTTAGTGTAAATTGGAGAGATAGAAGTGTGAAACACAGAGGGCGTTGGTAATAATTAACGCTCAACGCCAATGCGGATAATTTATTTCGTAAAGCACGTCAATGGCGTCAATGGCGCATTCCGAAGCAACGATTTTGCGATTTTCATGAACCTGCTGATCATTCCAGCACACACCCTCTCCGCATTCAGTATGTATGTGATGACATTTGTCTTTCCCGTCGAGCACGAATTCAGAGTAAGCTCATTCATCAATTTGGTGAGCCCGAAACAGCACTCGATAATTTACGAGAGAAATGCAAATTAATTGATATCTCATTTCGTGAACTAAGCGTGTTCTGTTTGTTTGGCCAGCGCGGACGTGTGATTCAATCCGAATCTGGAATTTCGCTTACATGTGATAAATCGCTTAAATTGTGTAAAAATACAAAAAAAGTGTTTCAGTGTTGTACATTTTTGTATTCCAGCACGTCTCGTGTTTATTTTAGCAGATTATTATTGTAATGAGGTGGTGCGCGCCTTGCGAATTCTTCGTGCCGCAAAACCCGAGAGATGCTGCGGCAGCGGAGGCGGCGAGATGAAACTCGTAATGAAAAATCTTATTCATAAACCAGCGCACTAAATATGTTCGCCTTTTTTTCTCGCTCATTGTCCCGGCGCCTGCACCAAATATACATTCGAAAATTCTCATTTCACTCCTGTCTTTTTCCTCTTGAAAAAAGCGCATAATAAGAGTGGTCATGAATATAATTAAACCAACCGGAATATTCTTTTGAAAAAATTATATTTAAACACAAAATAAATAAAAATTCTCCAGTGAAAGGTTATGTCCAGTAACATAACCTCAATTGAAGATGTATGCAACCCAAATAACACATGTGTATGGTGTAATTCGCACTCAATTATAAAAGCTGGGGAAAAAAAGGAAATGAGATTGAACTGGAAAGCTGCGAACAGTAAATCACATTTATTGGTTAGGTATTGTTCGCGTTTTTCGATTGGTTTGCTTGTTGTGCGTTGTTTAAGCCGCGTGTTTGATTTTTGTTGTGTGTCGGCGTTGTTTTTGCGCGCGGCGTACACTCATCGGGTGTAGTAGTGATTTATGCGATGGTGTTTTGAATCGAGCCGGGAGGTGGCTGAGGACGAGATTCCGATGGCGGTTTATCACGGATAACGCAATTAGAACGTCAGTGCGCGCATGATGAATGTGTGCACGCAGAAGGCGGACGCCGTTTTGGCATTAATTTCTGAATTTGTACTGAATTATGTTCACATTCGCCCCTCGAATACGATTCGGGAATTCGCACATGTCGCACAGACAGCATATGTGCGCCAAAACAAGCGCGAAAGTATGATAACAAGCACCAAATCATCATTTTCCCTCCCGCCACGAATCGGTGACATCTTCATTTGGTAAATTTATCTAATTAAGTTGACAAAATTATAATTCCTACTAATATTATAAATGCGAAAGTCCTAATGTTTGTTACACTTTCACGCAAAAACTACTTAACCGATCATCATGAAAATTTCTACACATATTCTTAGTGGTCCCCGAATGGTTATAGGCTACTTTTTATTTAATAAAAAAAATTATTTTTTAAATAAAATAAAGAAATTGTTTAGCCAATAATACCTCTGCATCTGGCTATTTGACTACTTTAACGCCATCTAGCATTCCAGCAATGAAGCTCAAACCTAAGTACTATAGTAAAATCACAATGTTTTATCACACTGTATTACCGACACCTACGTCAACATCAAATCCAATTGACTACACTATGGAGACTGTACACTATACTTCCATAGACTATACTTTCAGCCATTTTAAACTTCCCGCCATTCTACTTCATTGTTACTTCTTCTGTGACTACAGACGCGTACGGCAGCAACTTCATTATTTTAGATATTCGCGAGCGAAGACGCGGGTTAAAGCTAGTTTTACTATAAACTAGTGAATTAAAGTGAAGTGGAACATTTTATATTTTGATTGTTTTTTTTTTGTTTTGATGAAATGTTATAGCGAATAGACCGTGCGTGTTATTTGAGAACATGGCGGCTCATAAAAACATAACGGTTGGTTTCGGACAGGGGAAAAAAAGTTCGTTAGTTACGCAGTATTCCGTTCGGTTCGTTTTGATTCGTTTTGTTGTTGCTGCGTGTGTTTCTCTGATTTTTTCCACCGCCGCTCGCTGGCTCGGGGGCAAACTGCCGGAAAATATTTAAAACGAGCAGCCAGGAATGACGCGCGTCGCTGCACACAATAAACAAACCGAATGGGGCACGCGCCTAGCGCCTGAAACGCGAAAACGGTCAACGTAAATGCGAAATGGAAATCTCTTATATAAAATATGGCACTTAAAACAAAAAATCACACAAAAAACGAATGAAAAACACCATTTTTTCTGTCGGAATAGTGCGTAAAATGACATTTTTACTCTTGAAGGTGTAAAAAAAGTTTTAAACTCTTGCAGTAAAACGCAATATGAAAAAAAAGAAGTGTTAATATACGTCATAAAAAGGAATTTGTTTTAAATAAATATCAATTTAATATAATTTTATAGAAATTAAATATATGTATATATTATGTTAAAATATAACCACCTATCATACATTTTCTGGGGTAAAAGTTTAGAAATCGATAAAAGTACAAATTTGAGTTTTTTAATTTTTTGTCAGTTTTTCAATTGCAAATATCTCGTAAACTAAACGCGATAGAGAGGAACGAATTTCAGATCCTTAATCTATGGATAATTTTCTATAAGATGAGAATATGAAATAATTATATTTCCTTGAGTAAAAGGTCCAAAAACGCAACTAAAAATTCTGAAAAATGAAAATTTTCGATTATTTTACATTTTTTCAATTGCGAATATCTTGTAAACTAAAAGCGATAGAGAGAAACGGATTTCAAATTCTTAATCTACGGAAAATTTTCTATAAGATGAGACTGAGAAATACTTATATTTCCTGGTGAAAAATGTCCTAAAATGCAAGTAAAAGTTCTAAAAAATGAAAATTTTTAATTTTTTCACATTTTTTTAAATTGCTAATATCTCGAAAATTAAAAGCGATAGAGGGAAACGGATTTCATATCCTTAGTCTACGACAAGTTTTCTATAAGATGAGAATGAGAAATAGTAATATTTCCTGGTGTAAAATGTCCAAAATCGCAACTATAAATTCATAAAAATAAATTTTTTAAATTTTTCACATTTTTTTCAATTGCGAATATCTCCTAAACTAAAAAAGATAAAAAGGAACAGATTGAAGATTCTTAATCTACATCAAATTCTCTATCAAGTAAGCTTGTTAAATTAAAAAATTTAAAGTTAAAAAATGAAATAATTAAAAACAAAAAAGGAATTTGTTCAGTAGAGGTAAATAGAAACACAGATTACACTTTAATATTATCTTATATTGCATACATTGAAATAATAACATACCCATTAATCAGTATCGTTATAATTGTAGATTATTTCGTTTACAATTGTAATATTTGTTGTTATTTTACTCTGCTATGTGATTAGTTAATGCTTAATCTTTGGCACCAATTGAGATTTTGAGAATAAAGATATGACAGTTTTTGATATCTTTTACTTTCAACTAGGTCATCGCTCATTCATCGCTCTCAATCCACACAATAATTTAATTATCTCATAGATTAATTAATTATTGTAAATTTTACATAGTTACATGTTTTTCCTTTCGCTAAATTTTAACCTCTAATCAGCGTTTTAGTAAGTTCTATGTACAAGTGTAGTGTTGAAATCGACAAATCGACATTTAATTGATTTGTTCAATGATTATGTACAAAAATGGCGTACAAAACGTTCAATTTCGTGGAAATGTACACGTGCAAATGTTCAATTTCATTACTCGGTTAATTATAGGTCAATTACATTGATAGTTTTGGTAATTTAATAATAATAAACTATGCATTTAGTTATTTTAGAGTTTTACCAACCAAATCAACACTTTTATTAAAACTCGTTGTCTTGTCACGGAATTTCGTGCGCGTCGTCATGAGCAGCGTTTATTAAAGAGAATTCCGGACGCGAAATTTTACGCGGACGTGCTCGTAATATAGGAGAAATCTCGCGTTATTCTCGCGCAATAATAACAATAATAACGCGCCGGCAATATTGTCGGAGACGGCGGCGGCGGCGGCGGTGGCGGCACGGAGCTTTCCTCAGAAGCACGTCGTGTACACTGCTGCTGGGACGTGGATATAAGAATTAGCATTTTATTAGAACTATGCGCGCTATGCTCTCCAAACTAAGAGAGCTACATACAAATGTGCGCCCGGCGCCTTCACCATGAATTTACCGCTAAAACTAGAATTATTTTTCGCGTGGTTTTCCTTTTGGGTTGAGCTTGTATCAGTCGCACAAATCATTAGTATTTACACATATTTTTTAATATTTTATTTATGTTAGAGAGTTTACTGAATACGAATGGGAATGTGAATGTGAATGTGAATCTGATAGTGATTTTTTGTTTTCTTGTTGCTGTTTGTGATGGATGGATGAGTTCTTATATTTGCGATCGATATTTCGGTGCGACTTGTTTTTATGTTTTTTTCGTGGGTCGTAATCAATCTTGTCGCGCGTTTATGCAATGCGTCACCGATGCGTGAGGACGAGGCAGGCGGCCAGAAACAGCTGCAGGAGATTTGAGCTGGATAAAGATGGCGACGATGAGAATACTTCGCTTTCTCTTGAGCGGTGACCTCGTGCGGGTTCTGCCAAGCCTAGAAAATCAAAAAAATATATTTTTATGTCAAAAATGTTAAAATAAAAAATAATTTCAAGTTTTTTTGAATTTTTTTTCTGAAGTTAAAGTTTGTTCGAGTAAAGCACACAGGCTTCGCATACGAAAAGGAAATTTATTCAATCCGAAGAACAAATAAAGCTCGCGCCAAGCCAGGAACTGCTAGTTTCCAAAACGGGCTTCGAACGTTTTACACCGTATTTTATTCGTGTAATACCCGTCTGCTTTTGCGAACATATTAAACTTAGCAGATTTACGATATCGTGCTCGGCGAATTTCAATACAAAAAGCTCGAATTATGATTATTGCAGTGTAAACATTACTTATTATGTACAGAAAAAAAAGAAAAAAATATTTTTACTTCTCTGAAGCTGTAAAAATAAAATAAATTACAATTTTTAATTTTTTAACACAAAAAAATAGAAAAAAATTGATTTAAAACAGAAAATACTTAAATATTCTACATTTCTTGGCTTGTAGACATAGAAGTAAGAAAGAATCGTTGTATTTTTTAAGTTTTATTTGTTTTAGTCGACACGCCATCGCAGACCTATTTTTTCCATCGTATTTTTTGTTTGTTTTTTCTGCTTTTCTGCTTCCAGCGCTCGAATACAGACCGAGAAAACCGATACATTCCTCGCAGTATTCAATTACATCATTTGTTGCTGTATTTACGATTATTACGCTTGGGAATCCACAAATGCTCCCCGGCAAATATCCGCCGACGCAAACAAAGTCACAATAACTATACTCCAATTATTATAATTTTTTCCTCGTTAGACTATCTCTTAAAGTATCATCAATATTCTAAGCCAAGTAAAATTTGCCGATTTAACAGCATATGTAATCTGCATGGATTAATCACATACGTATGCGTATGTGAGGAAAATTAAAGATGAAAAAAAGGATAAACGTCGAAAACGTGTAATGCATAATGGGCGAATATGTTACGCTCGTTATGCGCACCCCCGCGTTCGATAATTATCCTTATAATGCTGATGGATTGTAATGCAAACACGTTTTTGCATTTTGCACATTTTTCTACTCCGAGGTTAATTACCAGCAATTATTCATTTCGATAAAATATTTTTTTTTATTTTTTTTGTAAAATTTTCATGAAAAATCAAAAATTTTGTTTTGAACAATTCAGAAACATTTTTAAAAAATTACTGTTGGTTTCGTTTGAGTGAATTTTACAATTTTGGGTTACGTTTCGCATCATTACAACAGAAGCGCACAATTTACAATAAAAAAACGCGTTGAAAAATCCGCTTTTTGTAGCAAAAGAAGAGAATTAGGCTGGGCGAGAGCAAAACCTGTTGATTTAAAAAAGTTTTGCATTCATAGCGTGTTCGGCGTGGCATTTTTGATGCCCAGCACCAAAAAGTGCTCTCTCGACAATAACTCCGAACGCATATTAATTTTTTTCTTCTGGTATTTTGGGTAAAAACGACAATTTTGCAATATTTTATCAGATGGAACAAGCTGAAAGTTTTATATTGCGCCATTTCTGTTTATTCAATTACTGACATAAAAGCGCGTTTTAGTGGTGAAGTAATGGTCGACGCGAACGCGTCATTAGGTATATGCCAGCAATAATTATGATTTAAATTTGCAGCAAATGCAAGCGCAAATGGAACGCACGCGAACGCAATTTGCACTTTCAAAGCTTTCAAGTAAAAATAATTACGTAAATAAATAAATGTGTTTGCGCTACTTATAGAATTACCTCCAACTATACTGATATGATTATCCTGTGGTCCACCGGGTCCAACTTTGATTTCTGCAACAAGAGAGGAAACATTTTATATATTTTCAGTAAAAAAATCCAAAATTTAGGTAAAATTGTGTTTATAACACAAAATGTCTCCAAAAATGTAAAAATTATCAAATTCTTTTCGATTTTTCTTATAATCAAACAAAAGTCAATTTTTGACGATTTTATTCAATCGCGAATATCTCGTAAACTAAAAGAGATAATTAAGATCCGATCACAGCGTTTTAATCTACGGACTCTTCTCTATAAGATAGGATAGTTAAAACGGAAATCTGAGAAATGAAATTTCAAGTCTTCAGAAAAAATTGCCAAGGGGGGGTGCTTGATACTTTTTTTCGACGATTTTTGAAAATTCATATCTCTTAAACTAACAGCGATAGCAACCAACAAATTATTGATTATGATAGATTGGAAAATTCTCAATCAGATAAAAATATAAAATAATTATATTTCCAATAGTAAAAGGTCGAAAAACGCGACTAAAAGTGCTAAAAAGTGACATTTTTCAATTTTTGACAATTTTATTCAATCGCGAATATCTCGTAAACTAAAAGAGATAATTAAGATCCGATCGCAGCGTCTTAATCTACGGACTCTTCTCTATAAGATAGGCTAGTTAAAGCGGAAATATGAGAGATGAAATTTTACTTCTTAAGAAAAAATTGCCAAGGGGGGGTGCTTGATACTTTTTTTCGACGATTTTTGAAAATTCATATCTCTTAAACTAACAGCGATAGCAACCAACGAATTGCTGATTATGAAAGATTGGAAAATTCTCTATCAGATAAAAATATAAAATAATTATATTTCCTATAGTAAACGGTCGAAAAACGCGACTAAAAGTGCTAAAAAGTGACATTTTTCAATTTTTGACGATTTTATTCAATCGCGAATATCTCGTAAACTAAAAGAGATAATTAAGATCCGATCGCAGCGTCTTAATCTACGGACTTTTCTCTATAAGATAGGCTAGTTAAATCGGGAATCTGGGAGATGAAATTTTAATTCTTAAGAAAAAATTGCCAAGGGGGGGTGCTTGATACTTTTTTTCGACGATTTTTGAAAATTCATATCTCTTAAACTAACAGCGATATCAACCATCGAATTGCTGATTATGAAAGATTGGAAGATTCTCTATCAGATAAAAATATAAAATAATTATTTTTCCGAAAGTAAAAGGTCGAAAAACGCGACTAAAAGTGCTAAAAAGTGACATTTTTCAATTTTTGACGATTTTATTCAATCGCGAATATCTCGTAAACTAAAAGAGATAATTAAGATCCGATCGCAGCGTTTTAATCTACGGACTCTTCTATATAAGATAGGCCTGTTAAAACCGGAATCTGGGAGATGAAATTTAAATTTTTAAGGGGGGGTGCTTAATTACTCTTTTCGACGATTTTCGATACCGAATATCTTCTAAACTTAAGTAGGTAGAGGCCAGCGGATTATTGATTATGAAAGATTGGATCATTCTCTATTAGATAAGAATTTATAAGTACTTAATTTCAAAGAGTAAAAGGTTGAAAAATACGACTAGAAGTGCTAAAAAGTGAAAATTATCCCACACCTGATACTACTTTCGTCTCATTTTATCGCAGTGCAGTGTTCCGAAGGTTTCACTTCTACTGCGTGTGAACTGCATACATGATTTTTATTTTGCTAAGATCAAGCAAAATTATACTAACATTTACCAAAAAACAGAAAGAAATGTCAAAAAGTTTTATAAAACTTCAACAGGTTTGCAAAAAAAAAACATCAAAATGACAATTTATTGACGTTTTTCGCAATTTTTAAACCCCTACACTTTGAAAATTCACCGAAAACAAATTATTGTAAAATATGTAATTATTATGATAATTCTACAATAACTATCGCCATAATAATTAATTTATTATGTGCGAGAATCAATCTTGGTGCTACTACGATGAAGAATTCGAAATTCGTCATTTTACCGAAAAGGTTTGTACATTTTAATCCAAAACGATATTTATTGACACTGACAGTCAATTTATTCCTATACTGTCAATAGTTTTTTTATTTCCACACACACGTAACACATTTACTGATTTTTATAAAATGTATAATCACAAGATAAGAGGACGTCCAGATGATCCCAAAAACAAAGCTATCGCCGCGGCGAAGTCATCCTTAGCGAAAACCATCACCGTAAACCCGCTGAGTCCATTCGCGCAAATCCCAGAACCATCGGAATTGGAAGCCGCCAAAAGCCGTCAGCATTATAATGAATTCAAGAAATCTTATCAGCTGAGACACAGTGCGTTATCACTACGCACACCATCGACTAAATTCCGCATGCCAATTATACGAGAATCACAGCATTGTGAAATGTATAAATTATCCACACCAACACCAAGTCTGAAATTGGTCGAAAAGAAATCATTTTCGCAGAGGCCAAACACCCAGGATAAACTTGTCAATGTCCCATCTTGGACACAAGACTCCGAGGCTGAATATAATCGGTATACTGATGATACACAAGCGATGATGTTGTTGGAGAAATTGAAACAATTAGAGATTAATTATACAAAATCTCAGAATTCAAAAATTTCACAATTTTCACAACACTCGCAAGAATCTCAAAATGCAGGCACGCAGAGTGTTTTAGAACAAGCTGAGAAGGAAGCCGAAGTAGGCCAAGAACAACTCGACACTATCCGGAAATTATTACAAGTGGATAAATCTACATCTAAACCAGGCGTAAGTTTACCATTTATAGAAGAAGAAGAAGAAGAAGAAAAAGAAGAAGATCATCCAAAGTTAAAACAAAAGAAATTAGTCGAAAATGTCAAAGAAAAAATATCGAAATGCAAGAAAAAGAATATGGTAATCACTTTAAACACACTCAACCAACGGATACAGAAAATGCATGAGAAATATTTTAATGAACCAAGAGTACAGTATAAATCACTGAAAGATATCGAAAAACGTTTGAAATTAGAAAAAAGCATCGAAGTTTTATACGCCAATGAAGGATTCGATCCGGATAAAGAAATCAGTCAGATTTTATTAGAAAACACCCCTGAAAAACAAGATTCTAATACATCCCTTAACTCAGACTTAGAATCTAAGACTAAATCTGTGAATATCATCCGGAAAGCAATGAGTATTCCTCTGGAAAGACATGAATTCACCACAGATGTCAGCTCGGATAATTATCTCCTGAATAAAAAGATAAAAAACGTTCATTTTCATGGTGATGAAATAATCGAACCAGAATCTGATTCAGACTTAGATATTTTAACATCTAGGACTGAGACTGAGAATACAGTAAAATCTAATGATACAAATTGTACGACTAAATATCAATCAGCAAAGGTTGATGTATTGCTTTCACCGCAACCCTCCGCTGAATCTACCTCATCGAAATCAGCGAGTACTCTGCATTCGATTCAAGATTCTATTCTGAAGTCGGAATATCTCATGAAAGAGTTTGATCTGTCCTCGAGCGACCTCACGACTGGTTTGTCTAACTATGCGACTAGTATGTCAACGTCGAAGAAAAGTTCTGATTCACTCGCTGGTTTGCCGAGTTTGCAAAGATTTTTCTCGGCGACTAGTCGGGGTAATTCCAGGAATAACATGCAGGATGCTTTTATGGAGGACTCAATACGTACGCAATTGAAAAATTCGCTATATGATATTTTCTAATATTTTGTCTGTGCTGTGATTGTTGTTTTTTTGCGAAATGAATAAAGTTTTTGGAGTTTTTTGATGAAATTAAATTAAAGTGATAAATGGATTTTCATTTATCCGTATTAAAGTGACCAGTATTAAAGAGTTGAGTGTTTGGGTGAGGTGGACCGGAATGAGCGATACATTTGTTGCTGTATAGGGCAGAGGGTGTGGAAAAGGGGATGATGGAGGGATGTGCACGTGTGAAGGAAAAAAAGAAAAATATGCTGGTCATTTTGACGGTGCAAAATTAAAGGGTTTTACTATTTTAGGAAAAAAGTTTAATTTTTGCTAAAATGTGTTTTTTGCAACAAAAAAATTGTAATGTTTATAATTTTTATTGTTGTTTATTAAATTTAATATACTGTAGTTAACAATTAAGTAAAATTCGAGAATATGTTGGATTTTAGCAATTTTTTCTCAAAATTTTATGTTTTTTGCAAAAAAATGCGAAAAAACTGAAAATTTTTGTAAAAAGTCTCAAAAAATCATATTTCTTGTAAGAATATGTACCAAATTTATAATACACTAGCTTTAACCCGCGGCTTCGCTCGCGAATATCTAAAATAATGAAGTTGCTTTCGTTCGCGTCTGTAGTCACAGAAGAAGTAACAATGAAGTAGAATGGCGGGAAGTTTAAAATGGCTGAAAGTATAGTCTATGGAAGTATAGTGTACAGTCTCCATAGTGTAGTCAATTGGATTTGATGTTGACGTAGCTGTCGGTAATACAGTGTGATAATACAGTGTGATGGTACCATAGTACTTAGGTTTGAGCTTCATTGCTGGAATGCTAGATGGCGTTAAAGTAGTCAAATAGCCAGATGCAGAGGTATTATTGGCTAAACTATTTCTTTATTTTATTTAAAAAATATTTTTTTTATTAAATGAAAAGTAGCCTATAACCATTCGGGGACCACTAAGAATATGTGTACAAATTTTCATGATGATCGGTTAAGTAGTTTTTGCGTGAAAGTGTAACAAACATCAGGACTTTCGCATTTATAATATTAGCAGGGATTTTAGGAACCACGAAAAAAGTCATTGATTCACGCAGAAAGTAGCAAAAAAATATTGAATTTTGTCAAAAAAAAGCAAAATTTTGCTAAATTTTTGCAAAAAAACGCAAAAAAACGTTTTTTTCTTCAAATCTAACCCAAAACTTCCATAAAACTAAAAAACCCTTCCAAGATATTATACCCTAAATGTCTTAAACGTGTTGTGGCAGCGGAAATTGCCCCCGTTCACAAATTTTTAATCGACATTTGAGTTTCACAACTGCGCAAACAGCAAAAGACGGCGACGTGATTCGAATGTTTTAACATTTCCGCAATGCAAATACAAAATGCATTACCCGATTCAGATTTACATGAACAATGCAGTTATTGCGCGCGCAAGCAACACACATAAAAGTAAAACTTTAAAAACTTCATTAATTCTTATCGCGATGGTTTTCTCGCGCTTGCAGTATACCCACTTTTATTGCGCTTTTTTGCATCGTCGATTGCTTTTTTAAATATATTTTCCTTTTTTGCCAATTGTATGTATTCAGGACACTCGTAACGGTAAGTTTAGTCATGGTTCAATATTGAATCGGCTTGCTCGACTGATTCGCTTTCTTTATATTGGCTTCCAGTGTGTTTGCCAGCCGGAAAAATAAAAATAAAGCAAGAGGACAAAACAAGTCGTTTGGTATCGCGCTCACGAATAGCAAATAACGCAAGCGCAAGACGAGACCTTCTTAATCGTTCTAATTCCTGAGTCCGGAGCTAAAGAAAACCACAGAAGCACAGGAGTTTTGCTGACGTGCGTTTGTTTATGTGTATGTACTGGTTGGAAAGGGTGGAAACAATCAATGTGCGGTCGAGAGCTTAAAATTCCGGACGGCGTTTCGTTGATTTTCGCCTAAATGGATCTTAATTAAAATCGCTGATGGCAACGTGACGTGACTCAACTCACATAAATCACTAGTGATTTATTTTCGCGCGGAAAAAAATTAAATTTATTTGATTTCATTATGTTTGCAAATATAATTTACAAAGTGTAACTTTTGCGGCTTGATTTGAAAGTTGGTAAAACGTCGAAAATCGTAAGCAAATGGAAAATAAGGTAGCCCAAAATTTAATTACAGAAACCGACGTGAATTTCTGTTTAACTTTGCGGAACTTAATTTTGCGGGAAGCCATTAATACTTTAATAACTTATAAATGCCTAAAACGTATGTCAAACAAAAGATTTTTTATATTAATAATTATATGCCACAAAGTTTCATACAAAAAAATATATTTCTAGTAATTTCCCGGCGCTTCCACATAATGTTCTCTATGTTATTTTTATAAAAAAGTAATTTCACTACTTTCCGAGTTATTATAATAAATAAAACTATTTCTACTTACCATATAGTCTTAATGTGCCTTCTGCTTTCCCCAGAGAATTAGTAGAGACACAATTGTACGTTCCGATGTCCTGCGTAGCAAATGATCGAATAATGAGCCACATCAGCACTTTATATCCACTTCGCTCCTCTCTAATAGTATATTTACTTCTGAAACACATAAAAATATCCAAAATATAATATTATTATATGTATAGAAAGTTTTTATTAGTTTAATACATTTATACGTGTCAAAATCCCGGCGCCTCCACCGTATTAAACGCTTTAAAACGTTCGGCGTGTTTAGTTTAAACTTTTTATTAAATTATATTTATTTTACTATTCCCAGACGGGCAACCTGCGCCGAAATTTGTTTCTATGCGCGCGGCCATTTTGGTTGCACGTAATCCGTAAATTAATTTTTAAACTAACTTTGAAAAACATAATAAAAGAAGATTAAATTTCGTTTTAACTCACATACCATTAAACGAACACCAGGCCCCCAATGGAGGGAAGAAAAAGTTTCGCACGCCAAGTTGTGATGAGCGCCGACGGAAAAGTTTCGCGATGAAAACGAAAATGTGAAATTCCAATATAATAAACGACAATTAATAATTTCGACTGGGTTATTATGCGCGTGGCAAAAGTTATAAATCATCAGCGCGCGGATTTGAGCGACGCTGGATCTGATGCTGTCGTCGCCTTTTCAGTCGGGATGTTTTCTGCGAGGGGAAAAAGCTTACAGCTCGTTGTGCGTAACGAAGCGCGCCGACGACTCATAAATTATTTATTCGATAATGATCAGTCGCACGCTCATCTCGCTCAACTCATCAACACTAATTAACTCTACACTTGTTTAAATTTAGAATAAATAATAAAATACAAAAAATATATTGATTTGCTAAAAACGTGAATAAATTGATAATTAGATGATTTTTTTGCAAAAATTTTGCTTTTTTTGAAATTTTTGTAATTTTTTTTTCGGGTTTTTGATAAAATTAATTAAAATTTTGCTTGTTTTGGTCAAAAATAAATTTTTGTGTGTATATTTTGGTTAAAATTTATAACATTTTAAAATATTTTTATGTTTTGTAATAAATTTTAATTGATTTTGCAAAAAAAGCAATTTTTGCCAAAAAACCATTTTTTTTCTGTATTTTCTGCCAAAATCCATATTTTAAAAAAATATCATTAAGTTTATCACTAAATATAACAATAATTTGCAAAACATGTAATATTAATGTTTGTTTTGAAAAATTATTTGCAATTTTGCTAAATTTGAGCAAAAATCTAAAATTTTTTCGCAAAAATTTGCCAAAACTCACAATTTTTTCATTTATATGTTTCTATATATTCTATAATATATAATTCTATACAATATTCTTTAATATACACTTTTTATTCTTTATGTGCTAAATTTAAGCACATTATTTAATTAATTATTGAATTAAAATTGGCATTCGGGGTGCGAAGCCGCAAATAATCAAATAATGTAACCGCTTTCGGTGATTTATCAAATTACGTGTGCATAAAATATGAAAATAGCAATATATCTATATATTATGTGTTACGTTTGAGTTCACATTTACAATCGGCGGCGGCTGATCGTGATTGCAAAATATAAAACATTCGATTTACGATTAGAGGGCTGAAAAGCGGGTGGAACATGCCGGGCGCCGGCTGTAAAACCATAAAACGCGCGAGAATGATTAATGCCAGTCGATATTTTCCTACTTGCATTAGCGGCGCACGGGCGTTATGCGATTTATTCATTGGCACGCAAAATATCATAATTAATTGACACTAATTAGTCAGTTTTAGTGCCAACGCAATTTGCCGAGCGAAATTTGCGAAAACCAATGGCTTTTCCTACTTACATTCGTAATTATCTGTAATTTAATTATAATGCGTTATTTTTGTCGCGCATGCGCGTTAAAAAGAACCACAATGCATTCTGCTGGATGACTCAATTTTTTTTTCGATTTTGAATTGTGTCGATATCGAGTACGTGTTGCTTTTAAGTTGGATGTATTGTCAACGCGCAGAATAAATGTCTCGGCACACGCCGGCGTATAAAAACATAATCCGGAAGTTGATTGATGTGTACACTTGTATTTAGAAACAGCCCGGTGCCGACTCCATCAATCAATCGGCAATAAAACAAAAAAGTCGGACGTGTAGAAAACGTAAAACGTAAAATGTAAAACGCAAAACGTGAAACGTAAAACTCGATGACAAATCCATTTGCACTTCGGACACACTGTATTTTAATCGTCGAGTTTAAAATTTGTCGATTCATCGAATTTTATTGTGTTTTTAAGCTTTGAATTTATACATGTAATTTTTTCGATGACAAGTAGTTTTTTTTGTTGCGCATGCGCGAGAAAAATATCACCCGCTGTGTTTTTTTGAATACATTGTCACATTATACACTACAATTGTTCGTAATGCATGCACATTTCTCTAGTTTTTGCGCGTGTGTACCTTTCGTTTAGGAAACAGTCGTGCAGAAAGCAATTTCGTTGGGGGATGCTCCTGGCATAATATTAGAAACACCCACATATATATACGCAGAGTCTCTCGGCAGGCAGTGCGCGTTGTTGTTTAGGGCTCGTTGATGGTGTCTATAAATTTCGGGCGCGCAACAATAGACTGACACGTTTGTGCGCGCAAGGAACAACACAAACTCTAAGGGTTGCTTTCTGTTTTGCACGACAGCGACACGCAGACTTGTCTCGCGTCGCCCTCCAAAGATGTATAACCCTGCGACGTTTAATTCTCCGTCTTCCTTTTAGCAGGATTTTTTTCCAGCGCGAGGGTTGCGGCGTCTTTAAGGGTGAGTCTGGTGCGTAATCAACCGCGGAGACACATTATTTACAGACTAATGTCCGAGAATGACCTCAATGTGTTTAACCGCTATTTGTTCACAAATAAAACGTTTTACAAAAAAAATGCCCGGCGCATCCACACTATAAAAACCTATGTTAATTTTTGAAAAATTCATATAAATTATTTTAAACATCACAATTGTGGTTAGAAATATTCTAGTTAAAGTTAAGTATGCAAACAATGTCTTGTTTCAACTTAAACTATTACCCCGGTCGTTTCAACCCTTGTAAAGTGCATCGTGTGCAAGGTTAAACTGCACTCGGAAGAAAATTTGACTTCGCGCGGACGCGTCACGAGCTTTCCCTTAAAATAACACACATAAACACTGAAGCACTACGTCGCATGCTTGATGAGTAAACATCCCTTGGTGGAGTCGAGTAGAGGACAGTAAGAACAACGAGCATCACGGTGATGCACACGGAAAGCTCGCAAAGCTCGCCGGGCTGAGAAAGCACGGAATCTTGGCCGAAGTTGCCTTAACCGAGATTGCATTTTGCCATGCACCACTATTTTCCAGGAGGAGCGTTGCAAGAAAGACCGGATGTGGTTTTGCTACGAAACGATACGAGGTCGAGCCGTGTCTTTATTTTACATTCATCCAGGGTGCTGCATGTTTAGCCTGGTGGTGCAAGCATCAAAAAAAGCTTCTAATGTACACATACAATGTGTCTAAAATTAGAAACTTGTATTTTTTATCGTTTAAAATTAACTACTCAATAATGACGTCACCAACATAACCTAGTTTTTAAATTTAGTGCATAAAAAATTTAAAAAAATGTTTTTTTAGCAAATTAACAAGAAATATTAGCAAAAAAATGTTTTACTTTTTTTTTTTATTGTATAAGGTGTTCTACTCAACAATGACGTCATTAACATAACCATGTTTCTATGCTTTGAGTGCAAAAATTTAAAAAAAGTTTTTTTTCCAACCTAACACACAATTTTAGCCAAAAAATATGTTATTCTATAAAAAAAATAATTCCTACTGTCAACATACAATGTGTTTAAAGAGCTACTCAATAATGACGTCACTAACATAACCAAGTTTTTATGTTTTAAGTGTAAAATTTGCAAAAAATCGTGTTTTTTCCAACTTAACGAATAATTTGAGCAAAAAATATGTTATTATATGTAATAAAAGTTTTCTAATTTATTCAAGCAGTGTCATATGTCAAAGTCATAAATATGTAGTGGTGGTAATGGCAGTGGTAGTGGTTGTGTTCAATTACCTGCCTGAATAAACATAAATGCAAGCTCGCCGGCTCTCGGCGCGGCACATCATGAAAGTTCTTCATTTACTCGCATATTCATGCTTTTAGTGAACGCACAGGCAGCCCACCGCACAGCATCGCAATGGCCGCCGATGATGAACGAGCGCACATAAATTTTTACGATTTTATTATGCTCTCGGCGGCGCATTTAGCCTCCGCGCGAGATTTTTCATCCGCACAACTTCATTCCGTAATTAAATACTCCATCCGTTCGCTAATCCAATGAATAATTATCTATCACAATATTTTTTTAGATACGCAGCGTGGGCGCGCAATTTAGGTTATGTGAGGTTATTTTTACGCGGCAAAGTTTTCAAATTAATTTGCGCAGCAATTTGAATTGTTGTTCTTGAACAAACACTTCCGGCTTGCCGGTTTAAATAATAAATGAATTGCTTTCCCATCGAGTGTTTGCTGAATAAGCAGCGTCGGGGTACAGGTGGAGCAACAACAAACAAACAAAATGAATATGTTTGCAGTTTCAGTGGGAAAATAAGAATCAAACAACATAGACTTACCCGTTGAGCAACATCTCGCCACGGTTCTTCACCCAGTAGTTGATAGTGTTCGGGAAGGCTTCCACGTAACACTCCAGCATGACATCCGTGTTCAAAGGAGCGCCCAGTAACTGATTGGGCACTTTAATTACAGGAGCAACTAAAACAGAAAAAACACAATTTACAAACAGTAATGTTTTTATTTTATGTTTGTAACATGATCCTTGACCCACTTCCGGTTTTATGTTCGCTGGGAATTAACACATGGCGATAAACTAATTAGAAACTTATCTGGAACAGAAGTTGGTCGTGTACTTAATTCCGCATTCAAAAGGCCTAACCCGGAAAACCGGAAAAAACTCCAATATAAGTCCGGTTGAGTCACAAAACAAAACAAAGACTAGTCACTGCGCGCAGTACTAGTTTGACGTTGCAAACAAAAGACCTAACCTCCAAAATGGAAGAGTTCCACTCACGCGACCGATAACGAGTTCCTGGAAACTTGCCCGGCTGCAGATTGCGAACTCCGATACACAACAAGTAGTAGGACGGCAAACGTCTGCACTCCATAGTCCTTTAAGGGAGTGGAATGGGGGCGGTTTGAAGGGTTTAGCAATGGGTGCCTCGAGCGGAACCAAATCGAACCGAACCAAATCTTGGACGTTTATCGAGAAACTTGCGAATTTTACTTATCTAACCACCACCCCTGCGAGAAACTACCCTTAAACCCCAACCACTCCTAAATACCAACACACCAACATCAACTTATTGTATTATCTTCTTCTATGTAGTGTTAGTTAGCTATTATTTGAGAACCGTCGACACTTATAACCGGAAGTATAGAATAACCGGAAGTACGGTGCGGAATACAACGAATACAAAACCGAAAGTTTCAGTTGGAGTTAAGTTGGATGTAATTAGATAGTGAATTAAACTTTGTGGAGTAAAATAATCCTCATTATACACACGAGTGTATAAAGTATAGTATTTTGTGTTATATGTTATAAATTGCAGTTTGATCACTCTATGAACTTTCTGCAGTGTGTATGTGTATGGAGAGTAGCGTAATTAGAAACCCTCGGAAGACGTTGTGTGTTGGCTGCGAGCTTCCGCAATTTGCATAAAATATCGGCGCGCAAATGTAGCCAGCTGCGTTTGGTGGCGTTGCACCCCGCGTGTATTTATTTACACGCGTAACAAGCCGGCTGTCTTAATGCGCAAACAGGCGCGTATATCATCGACAAAGGAGGCAGTTACAACTCACAACTCATCCCCTGCTGTGTGGGAGCATGGCTAAGGGTGTGTACTTACAATTCACGTTCAATAAGATGCGCTTGCTGACGGCGGGCGGCACGTCGTTGCTGGCGATGCACAAGTACGCGCCCATCTGCTTGCGATCCAATCTCCAAAAGTACAAATTGCTGCCGTTGTACGTATCAACTGCAACAGACACACATACATGAGGGGAGTATTAGTCTAAAGTCGGGCGGCGTTTGTTGCAGCCTGTTGAAATACGTGTTTTGGTACGTTTTGAGTTTAATTGTGTCGCAAAACGGCACGATGGCTAAATATCACAATGGAATAATAGAGGAATTGTGAAGCGGACAAACGGAATGTTTGTTTTGCTTGTTATTGAACGTTAAATTTTACTAAAATAATATTTACTAAAAAAATTTGTTTTGAAAAAGTTTTTTTTAACTTAGAATTTTTTTGGGTAAATATTTTTGAAATTTTAAAAGATATTTTGATTCATGAGATAAAAAGGAGTCTAATAAATTAAGAATCATAAAAATCGGACATGGCGTTCTTGAATTCTAAATATAAATTTAATTGCAGATTTTTTTTTCAGTATTTTGCGTATAACTTTTTTCTTTGAATATTATTTAATTTTTTAAAGTTATTCTGATAGTTAAGACCAAGGCGCACCTAGTAATTAAAAAAATCATGAAAATCGGTCAAGGCGTTCTCGAATTCTAAATATAAATTTAATTGCAGAATTTTCTTATTTGAGTATTTTGCTCATAACTTTTTTTTCTTTGAATATTTTTAAAATTTTTAAAGTTATTCTGATATTTATGACCAAAATAAACCTAATTATTCAAAAATCATGAAAATCGGACAAGGCGTTCTTGAATTCGGAATATAAATTTAATTGCAGAATTTTTATTTGAGTATTTTGCTTATAACTTTTTCTTCTTTGAATATTATTTAATTTTTTAAAGTTATTCTAATAGCTAAGACCAAGGCGCACGTAGTAATTGAAAAATCTTGAAATTCGGACAAACCGTTCTTGAATTCTAAATATAAATTTAGACTTAGAAAAATTTTTTTGCAAAAAAATGATTTTTTGCAAAACTCAATTAAAAAGAATATAAAATGTGGTTTAATAAATAAAAAATCATTAAAATCAAACTCATGCTTCTCCAATTCTAAAAATAAATTTAATTGTAGAAAAAATTATTTGAAAAAATCTATTAAAAACATTAAAAATTATCCTTTATTTTGACATTTTCATTGATACTAATAATTTTCCCCATTCTCACATCCTGTTTCCAAGCTTTTTGCAAAACAACCTCACGACAGGATGAGAATGTAGATTGTCGCATTCAAAAAACGTAAAAATGTGTACGATGGCAAAGTGTGTGTATAAAAATATGGTTGGCCCCGGTGTGACGTGATGGTAAATGCATAAGGAACCGGGGACAATTTTTAAAAACGTGCCGCCCGCCACGACAGACAGACACGTGATATGTTACTTTAGGTGCAGGCCATGCGGAATACTCAATGACAGAATTGCCTGCCGACGGTGAAAAATATTCTACACTCTTTCCCCTATTCTACATTCATCCTTCGCGTACCTTTTATACACAATATACAGTGTATTACATCGATATAATTTATATCCAACACATGCACTAAACAAAAACGTATTTTTAGTTTCTCCTGTATGCAAATATGAAATTTTATATAAATGACAACCTGTGACAATGGAAATGTCGCAGATATTGCATAGGTATTATTATCATCATCAAAAAGACAAGAATGAATTTTTATATTAATGTTTTTACTAAAAATAAAATGTGTGGGTTTGTATTGTGTGGAGGCGCCGGGCAAAAATGTTACCTTTAACAGCATCGCGATTTCCACGACGTAGAATAATCGGATGGCCATCTTCACGCCTCCAAGTGATTCTAGGGGTTGGATGACCAGTTGCCCGACACCATAGGGTGGCATTTTCACCCTCTGAGACTGAAAGATCACCACTTGTATCGTCGTAGATAATATCCGGCGGTACTGCAATAGAAAAAAAGACACTAATAAGACAAAATTACGAAATGATTGCATATTATTTATTCGCTTTGTGTATTTTATGCTCTTTGAGTACGTTTTGGTGGAGGCGCCTGGCAATGACCGCCACAAACGCGGAAATAAAAGAATTTTGCACTGCGTGTTCAAAGGACCCGAGAATATGCTACAACATAATTAAACAAATGAATTATTTGTTTGACTTGCTTTGTGAATACTTGCACAAGGGGTGAATTAACAAATATGTCAAATATGTAATTCAAAATGTAAATATTCATCCACACACTGAAAAAAATTCACTTTTCATGTATTTGAGTTAAAATGATAAATATTCATTTATCACATCCGGAATCCGGTTAGTTGGTAATGGTAACGTACCACCGTGAGTCCAGTGCTTGGGATGAAGGGGTTAGAAAGGGTGGAGGGCGTAATTTGCACATTATTTATTAATGGCGCAATTCAGGACGTTTAAATACTTAGCGCTTGCCGGTATTAAATTTAACAACTTTGCAGGTGCTCGCAGGACGCGTGCGGAATGTTAACAATACTCAAATGAGGGTGGTTTATCTAAGGACACAAAATGTCTGCGTAAATTACCTATAAACCACTAAACAACATCAGGAAACATAAAAATAACTTAGATATAAATACAACATAATATTTCTAATTTTATAGTGAAGACGAGTTGAATTTTGAGGTTATATTATTTATTTCTGTATTTTAAGGGCGGTTTTAGGTCAGATTTGTGCGGATCGAACACGGGATGCAGAGATAGCGTATTTTAAATCTGCATCGGTACACGATAATGCACTCAGAAGCAAGTGCGGCGTCAAGTCAGCGATAAAATAAACCAAGCGCCATGTTTGTTTGCGAATACACGAGCCGATTATTGTACCCACCTAGCACTAGCACTTAACAGATGGCGTTTTATTGCAGTGGGGAATTTATAGCGTCACATGTTTAAAAATTCATTATATTAATACATTGTCCGGGAAAACAATAAGATACACAATAATTTCGAAGAGTGCAGGTGCATAAAAGTTTCATAAAAGTTTTACGAGTTGCGTGGACCAAATGTTAATTACTAGATGAGCCGTACTAAAATTGTACATTGTTTGTGTAGAGCTTTCGCATCAGTTAAGATATTATTTTACGTGCGTCGTAAAAGTCGCGTTTACTGCGGGTGGGAAATGGGACAAACATCGGGAGAAACGGGTGATATATACGAGGACCTTTTGGAATGTCCTCAACAAGGGTGAGAATTTAGTAAAGGGTTTAAAAGGATCAAGAGGAACACTATAGTTGTTAAACTATTATACAAATTTTGAATATTTTGGGAAATTTGTGAAAATTTAGACATTTTTTGACTTTCAACCCTTATTTTCACCCCTTTAGAATTTTTTTTGTACACTCAAAAGTATCCTATGTTATTTACCATACTTTAAACTATATTTATACAAAATTTTATAAATTTTACTTAATTGGTTTAGAAGTGAAAAGGGCACAAACATATTTTTTGCGTATTTTCACTCTAAATCCACAATTTTCACGTTTTTTGCACACAATTTTTTAATTAAATATTTTTTAAAAGTTTTATATTTATTTAGTAAAACATTTTCGCTGTTTGTTTACCAATTAGTTGTGATTCTCTAACAAATGCAGCAAAAACAGTTGTATTTGCACGTGTTTTACTCCAGCGTCAAACAGTAATTCGTGTCTGAATTAAAATTAAACTTTTGCGTTTATCAAAGCGCTGCGTTCTAGTCGAGACTAATTGAAATGAACAAATCTCGAATAACGTGATTTTGTCCTGTTTTGTGTCCAGGCGCGTGGGCTGGTTTTATTTGAGTATTGTCCAAGTTAGCGCTCGATGAAAAGCTCCGGTTTTATTACTTTCCACGCTCGGATGTTTTCAGCGTTAATGAGCGTACGGAGACGATGCGTAATTAAGCACGAACTACGTGCGCATCGCACAAAGCTGATAGAAAAGTGCAGGGATTAAAAGTTTAGAAATTTTATTTTTTACAAAAAAAATGTTTTTTTTTTGCTAATATTTTCAATATTCTCTCGGTCTAAGTACACCCGCACGAGACAAAAACTCGAGGTCCCTTTTTTTTGTGAAGAGAAATGGTTGTTGAAAAGAACGTCGTCTCCTATTGCATAGGGAAGATGTCGATCGAGGGAAAAAATTGGCGCACGCATCGACGCACAGGCCTCGCTTCGACGATATCGCGTTTCGATTTATATGATAATGGCAAAAACGAAGCATCAATTATGCTAATTCGGTGCGTCGGCGGCGGGCGCGCGTTTAAACTAATTTCGTATTATATAGATAAAGAAAGAAACCAAACATAATTACGCGGCCAATGAAAATATTTGCCAAATCCACAAAATGCTAATTTTACGGAATCGAATGCGGACCATATTCGAAAGTTTTATCAAGTGGCTTGAATAAAAATACAAATTTCATTAAAATTTATTATGTTTTATAATGTTTAGGTATAAATTCAGTAAAAATAAATTAGATAAAAGTGTTTTTGGGATTTTTTTAGGAATTTTAAAGTTTTTTGGCAAAAAGTTTTGGAAAAAACTTGTTTTGTGCATTATCTGAGCTTTTTCTTGATAAATTCGAAAATAATCAAAGCCAAAATAAAACTATAACTTGTTTGCATATATTTTTGCAAAAATAAATTAAAAAAAAAGTTTTTGCGCAATTTTAAAGTTTTTTTGCTAAAAGTTTTGGAAAAAAATTTGTTTTGGGCTTTTTCTGAGCTTTTTCTTGATAAATTCGAAAATATAATCAAGGCAAAAATAAAAGCAAAGTGTGTTTGGGTATAATTTTGCAAAAATAAATTAGAAAAAAAAAACTTTTTCAGCAATTTTAATTTTTTTTTGCAAAAAAATGGAAAAAAATGTGTTTTGTCAACTTTTTGACTTTTTTTTTGATAAATTAGAACACAATCTTTGCCAAAATAACACCCAAACCTGTTTTAGTATAATTTTCTTAAAATAAATGAAAAAACATTTTTTTCTGGAATTTTTTCGTTTTTGTGATTTTTTGCAAAAAAATCGAAAAATAAAATTTAAAGCTATTTTTGTCATTTTGAAACTTTTTTATAACCTATTAAATCCTTATTTCTAAAAACAAACCCAAAACCCAAAATTTCCCTTTTAGCCAACCCTGACGTCAGAGTTTATAGAACAGAGGTTTCTCCTGTTCCAAATCCACTTTAGCGTTGCCAGAACCAATCTATTCACATAAATATGATGAGTGTCGGCAAAAAGAACAAATGTCGCGCAAAGAAAATTTCGACGACTATGGGAAAACTAAGGTTGGCGGGCCGGGGCGGTTGGAATAGAACGGATAGGCGCGTGTGGCCTAATCCTCGATGATTTACTATGGCGGCAAGTATAATTCCGTGGACACGTATGAATGTATGGAAATGCGCGTGCACACGTGTGCACACGTGGCGGGCACATCTCGCACCCAGCGCGATGTACACGCCTGGAAATCTTGAAATATCTTTCGGGCGCGCTTTTTTTATCGCATGAAATATGTGCCTCTATACGGGCAGCTGAACATTTTTATCATATCGCATGCGAGCTCGCGTTCCACCTCTGTACCCACACCCCCCGTGTGCGCCGTATCTATGAATATTTAATTTCACACTCGTGGGGTGTAAGAGCCGGCGGGGTAATTTGTGACTTGAAAAAATGAATAGGTATCTACCAAGAAATTAAAAAAAAACAATTTTTACGTCGATTTTAGGAAAAAAAAAAATTTTTTTGTGAAAGTTTAGACATTTTTTGACTTTCAACCCTTATTTTCACCCCTTTAGAATTTTTTTCTGCAATCAAAAAATATCCTATGTTATTTATTATGGTCCAAGCTCTATTTATAATAAATTTTATAAATTTTACTTTAATGGTTTTGGCGTGATAAAGGCATAAACATATTTTTTGCGTATTTTTACTGTAAATCCACAATTTTCAAGTTTTTTGCACACAATTTTTTAATTAAATATTTTTTTTAAATGAATAGGTATCTACCAAGAAGTTAAGAAAAAACAATTTTACGTCGATTTTAGAAAAAAAAAACAATTTTTTTTAAACTGATAACTTTAAGGGTAGTTTTTCACCCGTTACCCCTCAAACAGCTTCCTTTCACCAATCTACGATCTACACCGTCTTCTTATCTCGGGTTTATGTTTGCGCAGCTTTTGTGCTTAGAAAAAATTACATTTCTAAACAACCCTTAGGAAAATTGATTTTTTCCCTCACGAAGTGAACAAACATGTTGAATTTAATTAATCCACCCTTAAGAAAACACTGTAATTATGAAAATTACACACGTTTACATTACAACACATCAAAATACAAACGCTGGCATGTTAATGAGTGTAATTTACACGATAAAAACGAGAAAAATTAAAAACTACCCCTAATTATTCAATTACGGTGGAAAAATAATGTTTTGTTGACAGCTTCCCCAATTGCAATTGAATGCAAAACTGACGTAATTGGAAAATGCAATTAGGCGTGCAATCGTAATTGGCAATTTTCCATTCGTACGCACGCGTGTAATACCGGCGCCTCCACCATGGGAAAATAGAAAAATTCCGTAATCGATTACTGCATATTGCATTTTTTGTGCGGTTGAAGTTTTATACGTTTTTATAACAAAATCATTAGCGTTGTGGGATGTTTCTGTTGTTTACCTGTCGCCCCGGTAATTTCTGCGTTCGGTGCGTGGGTTTAACGCTAGTACATCACGATGACAAATTGCCGTCAGTCGTTGTTTTTCTTTCTTATTTTTTTCCGGCTGTGTGCGCGCAAACAGTGCCATTTGTAGCGTGTCCGTCATGCGCAATTATTAACAATACAGCTTTGCCCGCGCCGCCCCCGCCGAGACATGACGTGTCTGCGTGCGCGTGCAATTTGTAAATGTTTGCGAAAGGTTCTCAAACATTCACGAATGCTCCGCCGGC